CAGCCTTTTGCCGCATCGCTCTATAGATCCATCCAGCTCGGACATTGGCACTGGGTCCTTCTGCACGCCAGGCAGATGCCCATGCCCTTCAGATCCCTGCCCAGGAAAAGGGGATTACACAAAACAAATGATAAATACAAATGAAATGCTGCGAAAATCCCTGAAACGAGAAGTAATCGACTAGGAATATTATCTTATAGAATTAAACCAAATAACAAAAATCAGCAAGTCTAAGGAAAAATTAGAAAACCCCTGAAACGAGAAGTAATAGACTAGAAATATTATCTTATAGAAATATATTAAACTAAATAACCAAAATCAGAAAGTTTAAGGGAGAAATTGGAAAAACCTAGATTAACATCGGCAGTAACATCTAGACCAAAGGAGCGTTTCAGCCCTGTTTTTGAGTTTAAAATCTAAAACAGCTTATTTTATATTCCTTTCTTTGAATTTGTGCAATGTAGGTTTTTAAAACCTTTTTGTAAAGGCAATCCTAGAGTTTTACAGCCGAGTCCTCAACTCCTTCTTCCTACTGCTTGGCTTTCTTTAAATAGGGCTAAAACTTGCCATTTAGGTTTCCAGACCTTTTTTGTAAACTCGGGGGAGCGTTTCAGCCCTGTTCTTGAGTTTAAAATCATTTATGGTTTATGATTTCTCTTATTTCCTTCTGAAGAAACTGAATAGTTCAGTGAAACAAGGTTTGTGCCCGGCATCCCGTTAAGGCTTTGTTCAGTTCTAGATTTTTTTCTAATTTTTCCCTTAAACTTTTTTGATTTTTGGTATTTAGTTTAATTCTATAAGATAATATTTCCAGTCAATTACTTCTCGTTTCAGGGATTTTCTAATTTCTTCCTTAAACTTTTTGATTTTTGTTATTTAGTTTAATTCTAGAAGATAATATTATTAGTCGATTACTTCTCGTTTCAGGGATTTTCTAATTTCTTCCTTAAACTTTTTGATTTTTGTTATTTAGCTTTATTCTGGAAGATAATATTTCCAGTCGATTACTTCTTGTTTCAGAGATTTTCTAATTTTCCCTTAAACTTTTTGATCTTGGTTCTTTTGTTTAATTCTAGAAGATAATGTTTCCAGTCGATTACTTCTCGTTTCAGGGATTTTCACGGAATTTCATTTGTTTTGTGTAATTTCTCTGTTCCGTGACTGTCTCTTTTTCTACAGGCTGTTGCTGGGTCCCTCTGGCACAGCACAGGCAACCCCTTTCTGTACCCACCTCCCGCCAGTCTCTGGCGATGGGTGACTCACCTCCTTCGTGCCGGGACAGGTGTGTGCCAAGGGTAGGGCAGGCTGCCACCCACAGGCCCGGGAACCGGAGCGAGCCCAGTTTTCGGGGGCAGCCCTGCTCCCCGCCCGCCCTCAAACATGTCCCTTCCAGCCCTGATCCGAAAAGGGCGAGCGGAATTGCTTAGATTGGCCTCCTTAGAAGGAAAGGTTGCAGCATTTGGGGGCATTTCGGGTCAAGAGACAACGCGGTCGACTTAAAGCCTTGTGAATAGCGCAATTCTCGGCTGCGACTTCTGCATTACCAGCGGGGTTGAGATGGATGACCTTTGGGGGGCCCCTTCCAATTTGGGGTGCCGCTTTGAGTGAAAACGGTGCATTTTATTTTTTCCCCAAAAGGCTTTTCTCAAACAAAATCGGCACACCGGTTCCCCTTCCTCCTCTCGAGGAGACTATTGCAGGAGGGGAAAAGGAACATCCCAAAACACGGTTCGAAATTCTCAAGGTGCCCGTCACATTTTGCCACTGGTGCTGGTCCAGTTGCGACTACGTGAGCCAGTTTAGAAACCTGCAATAATGCACAGTTAATTCTATTCCCACTGTGTGTCTGCGTCTCCTCATTGCATACCGAGACGTGCGAATTGTTGGTCACCTTTGAGGAAATCCGGAAATGCATTTGAGTCAGGATGCGGGGAAAAGTTATTAAGTTTAGCACACCTTTCCGGATATCGCTTTGCAATGGCTGCCTCCTTCCTGCGCTCCGAGGGCACCGGATTTTGCAAAGCTGGTTTCTTTACTGCCCACTTTTCGGAGGCTACGGCATTAAAGCCACACGGTTAGAAACTGGACCGTAAAAATAAGCCGGGTCTGGAAAATAGACCCTTTTGAGTGTCAAAAACTCCAACCCAAGGTAAAGAGGTCTTTGGCATTCGGTGGAAGCTGTGTCACAAATGCACAAGTTGCGCCTCTGGTTAGGGGCCACCACAGAAAAGGCCCTCTTCTCCCCCTGGGCTTACCCCCATGTTCCCCCGGGCCCTCTCTGCTGATCTCAGCACAAACCCATTTAAAGGGCCAGAAACAACCTCAAAAAAAATGGGAAAATGACACCAAAACAGCGTCCAGCGATCTCTTGTGCCTCTGTAATTGCAATCTCAGGAACGCTCCTGGTTTTCAAAACTCTTTCCAGAGGTTGAGAGAGTCCTTGCAGGCTTTTTTCAAATGTTGTTCCCAATAAGAACAGTAAGAATGAATTCCTATGCCCCACAAATAACCCAGGGATGCATTGTAAATAAAAGCACACATTCTACCCATGTGAAAACACGCTCGTCCGTGGGCCGGATTGAGAAGGCGATTGGACCTTAGTTTGCCTACCCATGTTTTCAGGGGTATTTGGCCCCCTGTGAGAACAGGGAGCTGGACTGGACGGGCCAGGGGGCCCGATCCACCGGGCTTTTATGTGTGCTGCTTTTGCAATCCAGGTAATCTCAGCCGCTTAGTTGCAGCGATGTTGTGATTCTAAAAGCAGTGGGGTGTGTGTGTGTAAAAGGGTGGGGCGGTGTGTGTGTGGGGGGAACACCCTTTGGCAAAGGTTTAAACGCTATAACATCCCCCCCCCCACTGCACTCCAGGAAGACAGCTGCAGATCTGCTCTGACTCACCTGCTCTCCCTCCCTGAAGCGAAATCTTGCTAAGCTCCCCAATTAGGATGCCCTGCCCCGCCCTGGCTGGCTGCCCCCCCCCCCCGCCAGCATCACCCACAAAGCAGAGAGAGAAGCACTCACTTCCCCCCTGCAGGGCATTTGGTATTTTTGCTGATTGAGCTGAGCTGGGTGAGAGAGAGAGACACAGCTGTGGGTTAAACCACAGAGCCTAGGACTTGCCGATCAGAAGGTCGGCGGTTCGAATCCCCGCGACGGGGTGAGCTCCCGTTGCTCGGTCCCAGCTCCTGCCCACCTTGCAGTTCAAAAGCACTTCAAAGTGCAAGTAGATAAATAGGTACCGCTCCGGCGGGAAGGTAAACGGCGTTTCCGTGCGCTGCTCTGGTTCGCCAGAAGCGGCTTAGTCCTGCTGGCCACAGGACCCAGAAGCTGTACGCCGGCTCCCTCGGCCAGTAAAGCGAGATGAGCGCCGCAACCCCAGAGTCAGTCACGACTGGACCTAATGGTCAGGGGTCCCTTTACCTTTAATGTAATATACAATAACAATAATGTAATATAGGGACTCGTGTGGCACTGTGGTCTAAACTGCTGAGCCTAGTGCTTGCCGATCAGAAGGTCGGCGGTTCGAATCCCCACAATGACGGGGTGAGCTCCCATTGCTCAGTCCCTGCTCCCGCCCACCTGGCAGTTTGAAAGCACCTCAAAGTGCAAGTAGATAAATAGGTACCACTCCAGTGGGAAAGTAAACGGCGTTTCCGTGCGCTGCTCTGGTTTTGCCAGAAGCGGCTTAGTCATGCTGGCCACATGACCCGGAAGCTGTACGCCGGCTCCCTCGGCCAGTAAAGCGAGATGAGCGCCGCAACCCCAGAGTCTGCGACGACTGGACCTGATGGTCAGGGGTCCCTTTACCTTTAAGTTGACCCACCTGGATGGAGCAAACCCAAGAGCTCCCTCTGCTGGCAGCGACGGGAAGCGGCTTTTATTCAGGGCAGTGGCATCCACCTAGTTCAGTATTGTCTACACTGGGCGACAGCAGCCTCTCCCAACCCTACCCGGAGGCGCCATTAGGGATTGAACCTGCGACTTTCTGCACGCAAGGAAGGTGCTTTTGTCATAGACCCCAGGGGTCGCCCAACCCAGCCCCCTGCAATCCAGGAATCTCAGCTAAAGTATCCATGACAGATAGCCTTCGAACCTCTGCTTAAAAACCTGAAAGGAAGGAGAGACCATAACCTCCAGAGGGGAAATTCTTCCTGGTTTTTACTTGGTTTGAGTCCCGTTGTCCAGGGCAGGAGAAAGCAAAGCACGCTCCCTGTTCCATGGGACAGCCCTTCAAATATTTGAAGATATCACCTCCCAGTCTCCTCTTTTCCAGGCTAAACATCCCCAACTCCTTCAACCTTTCCTCATCAGGCATGGTTTCCAGACCCTTGATCCTCTTGGCTGCCCACCTCGGCACAATATCCTTCTGAAATTGCAGTGCCCAGGACTGGACACAGCACTCCAGGTGTGGTCTGACCAAGGCAGGATAGAGTGGTACTATAACTTCCCTTAGTGATGTATGGAAGTGAGAGCTGGACCATAAAGAAGGCTGATGGCCGAAGAATGGATACTTTTGAATTCTGGTGCTGGAGGAGACTCTTGAGAGTCCCATGGACTGCAAGAAGATCCAACCTCTCCATTCTGAAGGAAATCAGCCCTGAGTGCTCACTGGAAGGACAGATCCTGAAGCTGAGGCTCCAAGACTTTGGCCACCTCATGAGAAGAGAAGACTCCCTGGAAAAGACCCTGATGTTGGGAAAGATGGAGGGCACAAGGAGAAGAGGACGATGGAGGACGAGATGGTGGGACAGTGTTCTCGAAGCTACCAGCATGAGTTTGACCAAACTGCGGGAGGCAGTGGAAGACAGGAGTGCCTGGTGTGCTCTGGTCCAGGGGGTCACGAAGAGGCGGACATGACTAAACGACATGACTTCCCTTGGTTGGGACACTAGACTTCTCTCGTCGCTGAGCTACGGCCAAATCTCCTAGCAAGAGAACAAGATTCTAGTCCTCACTGTTCTGAGCGAACGGCTGGATTAAAGAAGAACGCAGAATGCTGAATCAGGACATTCTCCCACCTGTATTTGGGTTACTGGAGGAGTCTGGAGGCAGAACCCCCTCCCCGAATATACAATTATTCCTCATAGGCCTCTGAGCCCTTCCCATACCCCACATTGGCCCCGCTGGCGGGGTGGGGGAATCACAGCAGGTTAAGAAAAGCAACCCCAGTTTCCAGGGTACAACTCCCACCAGATTCCCAGAGAAAAAGACTGCAACTGTCCCTTGGCTCAGAATGCAGAGAGAGAGAGAAGAGAGAAAAAACTTCCTGGAAAATCGGCCCCTTTCCTTGTCCAGGAGGGTGGTGGGGTGTGTGTGGGGGGGGCAGGAAGAGTCACGAGCCCCTCCAGGACTCCTATTCCTTCTTGCGCTTGTCCACGGGGACGTTCCAGTAATAAATCAGCTGTCCCGTGATGATGCTGTTGCAGGACGAGGCCACAACGTAGGTGAGAGCCATGAGGGGGTCTCCTGTCTCCTGCGGGGTGGGGGCAAATGAGGCAGGTTTGCTGATTTTATTTGCACCCAAACTTCACCCCCCGATGCCTGCCTGCCCAAGTTGGGATGCGAGGCGGCTTCCAGTGTTTTTTAAATTAAAAAAACAACATCTAGATCCCACCCACCCTCACCCTCAATACAGAAAGCAAGGGGGGGTTGATTTCCTGCAAGCCCAACGACTCCTTCCTTTACTTCGGGGCTGAGGCTGTTAGCCGCCTAATAATAATAATAATAATAATAATAATAATAATAATAATAATAATAATAATTTATTATTTATACCCCGCCCATCTGGCTGGGCTTCCCCAACCAGAATGGGCGGCTTCCAACAAAATATTAAAATACTGTAATACATCAAACATTAAAAGCTTCCCTAAAGAGCCTTCAGATGTCTTCTAAAAGTCTGGTAGTTGTTTATCTCTTTGACATCTGCTGGAAGGGCGTTCCACAGGGCGGGCGCCACCACCGAGAAGGCCCTCTGCCTGGTTCCCTGTAACCTCACTTCTTGCAGGGAGGGAACCGCCAGAAGGCCCTTGGAGCTGGACCTCAGTGTCCGGGCTGGACGATGGGGGTGGAGACGCTCCTTCAGGTCTACTGGGCCTTTGAGGCCGTTTAGGGCTTTCAAGGTCAGCACCAACACTTTGAATTGTGCTCGGAACGTACTTGAATGACGCCTCTCTGCCCTCCCCACCCGCCCTGGTCAGGTGAACCCCGGCCTACCTGGATGGAAGTGAAGATTCGGGCCAGAGAGCCCGCAAAAAGCAGGAAGGCTGTGACGGCGGAGAGCTGCCCTGTGTGGCCGTTGCGGTAGTTTGTGGCTGCTTGCAGGAGCTGTTGAGGGCACACAGAAGAGGTGTAACATTTTATTTATTTATTCAACTTACACATCGCCCTATACTTGGAGGTCTCGGGGCAGTTCACACACAACATATAAAATCAAACCAAAAACAATAAACCAATTTAACACCCCCCCCCCAAAAAAAGAACCACATTCTAAAAGGGTGTTGGATGGATATCAAGAAGATCAACCAAAGGCCTGGTGAAAAAGGAACGTTTTTGCCTGGCACCTAAAGGTGTGTAATGAAGGCACCAGGTGGACTTCCCTGGGGAGAGCATTCCACAGACGGGGAGCCACTGCAGAGAAGGCCCCGTTCTAGTGTTTCCACCCTCTGGACCTCTCAAGGAGGAAAAACACAAAGAAGGGTGTCAGAAGGTGATCTCAGGGTCCGGGCCGGATCATATGGAAAGAGGCGGTCGTTGAGTTATTGTGGTCCTGAGCCATTTAAATCTTCACAGGTCAAAAGCAGCACTATGAATTGGGCCCGGAAACATCCTGGGAGCCAATGCAGATCTCTCAGGACCGGTGTTATGTGGTCCCAGCGGCTGCTCCCAGTCACCAGCCTGGCTGCCGCATTCTGGATTAATTGCAGTTTCCAGGTCACCTTCAAAGCTAGCCCCACGTAGAGCACATTGCAGTAGTCCAAGCGGAAGATAACCAGAGCATGCACCACTCTGGCAAGACAGTCTGTGGGCAGGGAGGGTCTCATCCTGTGTACCAGATGGAGCTGGGAGACAGCTGCCCTGGACACAGAACTGACCTGCACCTCCATGGACAGCTGAGTCCAAAATGACTCTCAGGCTGCGCACCTGGTCCTTCAGGGGCACAGTTGCCCCATTCAGGACCAGGAAGTCCCCCACACCTGCCCGCCTCCTGTCCCCCCAAAACAGTCCTTCTGTCTTGTCAGGATTCAACCTCAATCTGTTAGCCGCCATCCATCCTCCAACCGCCTCCAGACACTCACACAGGACCTACACTGGTTCCGATTTGAAAGAGAGGTAGAGCTGGGTATCATCCGCATACTGATGAACACCCAGCCCAAACCTCCTGATGACTCTGAGATTGGTGTGCTTTTGGGGAGCCATCTCCAGCGCACACACCTCTTGCCTCTTAGCGGCCCCCACCCCCAGGACAGTAGCACCCACTTTGCTCCCCAAAGGTAAAGGTAAAGGGACCCCTGACCATTAGGTCCAGTCATGACCAACTCTGGGGTTGTGGCGCTCATCTCGCTTTACTGGCCGAGGGAGCTGGCGTACAGCTTCCAGGTCATGTGGCCAGCATGACTAAGCCGCTTCTGGCGAACCAGAGCAGCGCATGGAAACACCGTTTACCTTCCCGCCGGAGTGGTACCTATTTATCTACTTGCACTTTGACGTGCTTTCGAACTGCTAGGTTGGCAGGAGCAGGGACCGAGCAACGGGAGCTCACCCCGTCGCGGGGATTCGAACCGCCGACCTTCTGATTGGCAAGCCCTAGGCTCTGTGGTTTAACCCACAGCGCCACCCGCGTCCCTTTTGCCCCCCAAAACAGCACAAAACATCAGGCGGGTTGGCAATCTTTGGAGGAACGAGAGGTCTAAGGGGCGCTGCAGAGTTTGAGACTCAGGCAAGCGGGCCCGCATATGGGGCAGAGTTTCTCCGATCCCCACACCCCCGGGTGCCCCTTACCCTGCTTGTTATGACGGCGGGCATGTTGAACGCCTGGAGCGCCGTCACGACCCCCACAGGTGTGAGCGAGGAGAGCAGGAGGGCCAGGACTCCGAAGTATGCAAGCAGGAAGGACACACCTAGGGGTTGAAACAAGAGGCGTTGTGTCACGAAGGCAGCCCCGCAACCTGGCTTAAGAATATAAGGAGGGCTCAAATTTACAGATTGTTCCCTATTGAAGGAGAATTACATGAAGATGATGTGCAGATGGTACACGACATCAGTGCAGTTAGGGGAAATGTACAAAACTAGTTCAAATAGATGTTGGAAGTGTAAGGAAAAGGAAGGGACACTTTATCGTATGCTGTGGGATTGTAACGTAATTTTAAAAATTTGGGAAATGATATACAACGAATTGAAGAAAATGTTCCATTTAACATTTGTTAAAAAACCTGAAGCATTTTTGTTAGGGATTGTAGGGAAAGACCTGCCGAAAAAGCTGAAAAACATCTTCATGTATGCGACAATGGCCGCGAGAGTTCTGGTAGCACAAGGATGGAAGACTGAAGAAACCCCGACTAAAGAATCATGGCAAGAAAAACTGATGGACTATGCAGAACTGGCAAAACTGACATATAAGCTACGGGACAAGGATAACTGTGATTTTAAGGATGAATGGGAACCCTTTACAAAGTATCTCAAGACGCAACAAAGCGAACTGGACTCCTTGGCTGGCTTTGAATAAACATTCACCAACTTTTCTATTGATGATAATCAGCTAAATAGTTGGAGGACCTATACAACATGCAGAAAACAGCATTTTTAGAGAAATCAAAGACTGGAACTGAGGGAAGCCGGGGTGGGGTGGGGGGTTTTTGTGGGGGAGGGAGGAAAAATGGATAATATGTTTTGTTTTGTTTTAATTTTGAATAAAAAAGTTTTTTTTTAAAAAAAAAAGAATATAAGGAGGGCTCTGCTGGGTCAGGCCAGTGGTTCATCTGGGCCAGCATCCTGTTCTCACAGTGGTCCTCCAGATGCCAATTATGGGAAGCCCAGAAGCAGGAATTAAGTACAAGACCAACACTCTCCTGGGGTTTCCAGCAACCGGCGTTCAGAAGCGTCAATGATGATGTTATTTATACCCTGCCCTCCCCGGCCACAGCTGGGCTCAGTTGGTTAACACCAGTAAAATTACAGTAAAAACGTAATGGGGAGGGGGGAAACCAATTTAAAATACAGGTTAAAATGCAATTAAAATGCAGCCTCATTTTAAAGTAGCTGATAAATCAAGACCGTAAGGGGAGGGAAACATAAGAGTCAGACCGAGTCCAAACCAAAGGCCTCTGTCTTGCAGGCCCTGCGGAAAGATGTCAAGTCCCGCAGGGCCCTAGTCTCTTGGGACAGAGCGTTCCACCAAGTCGGGGCCAGTACTGAAAAGGCCCTGCCCCTAGTTGAGACCAATCTAACCATCTTGCAACCTGGGACCTCCAAGGTGTTGTCATTTGTGGACCTTAAGGTCCTCCGTGGGGCAGACCAGCAGCCTCTCTTCCTAACTGGATTTGTCCAATCCTCTTTGTCCAAACCTTCCAATTTGGTGGCCATCGCGGCTGCCTCCTGCAGGAAGGAGTTCCACAGTTTAACTATGTGCCGCACGAATAAAAGAAGATTTATTTGTCCTTTCAACATTCCAGCTTCTTGGGCGTCTACAGGCTTTGAGTGTTATGAGAAGGGGAGTAAAAGCTTTCTTCATGCCAGGCATAATTTTGTAAACTTCTATCACGTCGTCTCTCCCATCCAGCTTACGGAATCAAAACAAGGCACAAGGGGCTAAACGTACGTGCTACACATATAGCATGCATTTAGAATTCCCGAAATTCCTGTGGATAGCTCAGTAGGGTCCATGGTGTTGGCCGAAGCGAGGCTCAGGTTCTCGTTGCTGCTCATGAACGGGAAGGAAGAGGGAGGTTTGGGGTGCGGGAAGGGCCTAGCTGAAAGCCCCCAAACAGGTCTGGTTAGGATCCAGGGCTGCTGAGCACCAGGGCTTAAAGGATGCCAAGTTCTGCCTTAGCCCAAGTCTCCTGCCTCCGACAGGGGACAGCCAAATAACCCCCAAAGCTCACAGACGTCACTGCGGTTCGCTGTCTCTGAACATGGAGTTTCTGCTTGGATGTTTTGGCTAATAGCTCTTCAACGCAGGATAGCTCAGTTGGCACTGCTGGCAATGCCAAGGTTGCAGGTTTGATCCCTGCGTGGGACAGCTGCCTATTCCTGCCTTGCACGGGGTTGGACTAGATGCCTCCCAGGGTCCCTTTCCAACTATGATTCAATTAAATGTACTCTAGACTCTGGTTCCAAACTCACCCCGTCCCGTGTGGCCCCCAAAATGCTGGACCAGGAATCCGATGGCCACGGTTTGCAACATGAGGAAGAAAGCCTCGCCCCAGGAACTGTTGTTTGGGTGGGGGAGAAGGAAAGAAAGAGATGTGTTAGGGGAGAAATGAAATCTCTTGATCCAAACTCTTTTCCCAGGCAGGTAACAGCTCCTTCAAGGCGCTGTTTTCCTTCCACCACCAACAGCAAAGAGGAGCGAAATGAGTGCGAGAGGATCAGAAACGTGAGCACTGACAACGCCCCACCCTCCCCAAAAAAGGCAGGAATTAGGAATCAGCCCTTAAGCCTTTAAAACTGCAGCTCCGGCAATCGGCTGGCGACATCGTTCCGGCAAAGGATTAGACCTCTGCAGATCAGATTGCTGTTAAGAGAGCAGGGTGGCCACGCGCTCCTGTAACTAGCGGGATTGCGCGCGCGTGAAAACAAATGTTGGGATTCGAACTCGGCACCGCCGCCCGTCAAAAGGTCTGCGTGGACCTCTGGTTGCGCTTAGCTTGAGAGGACTCCAAATTACCTAGCAGCGAGACACGGATAACTCACTTCCTGAGAGCTGCCCGTTTCAGTCGTGGCTCAAGCGGGCGAAAGGACGTTTTTATGTACCGTATTTTTCGCCCTATAGGATGTACTTTTCCCCCTCCAAAAACGAAGGGGAAATCTGTGTGCGTCCTATGGGGCGAATACAGGCTTTCGCTGAAGCTTGGAGAGCGAGAGGGGTCGGTGCGCACTGACCCCTCTCGCTCTCCAGGCTTCAGGAAGCTATCAGCAAGCCTGGGGAGCCTGCGGGAGTTCCCGCAGGGCTCCCCACGCTGCGGATAGCAGCCTGCCGCCCGGCGCGCAGGACGCCCTGAAACAGAGCACCCCTTGTGCCGGGCAGATATCCACAGCGTGGGGAGCCCTGCGGGAGTTCCCGCAGGGCTCCCTAGGCTGCGGATAGCAGCCTCCTGCACAGAGCACGGGGCGCGCTGAAGCAGAGCGCCCCACGCTTCGGGCAGACATCGGCCAGCCCCACAAGCTCGGGGGACAGCGGGGAGGCACAGCGCCGCCATCCCACTGTTCCTCGACCTGGTTTGGTTTCCCCGACCTGGTTTTTTTTTGGGGGGGGAAATAAAGGGAAAAAATTCCCTTTATTCCCCCCCCCCCAAAAAAATAGGTGCGTCCTATGGGACGGAGCGTCCTATCAGACGAAAAATACGGTACTCTATTATGAACTGATTTTGTTAAAAAAAACCTTATATGCAGCAACAAAGGAGAAACTGACCCATCGGTTCTCAGAGGGGAAGCAGACTCATTGGACTTTGTGTCTGTCTGGCGGGTTTTCAATCGCAGCTATAGAAAGGGCTCGGGCGCTGCCCATACCTGAACGGAAAAGCGTTGGCGATGCTGTAGGCCATGGTGCCGGTGATGGCGAGCAGCTCCAGGAGGATGGAGTGGAAGCTCAGCCCCTCAGCGCTCTTGGCCCCCAGGATCTTGAAGATCTGGGGCAGCTTCACTGCAGAAAGGGGGAGGAAGAAGTGGTCAGAGTCCCGCTCTATTCCGCCTCGGTCAGACCTGTGTCCAATTCTGGGCGCCATAATTTAAGAAGGATATTGAGAAGTGGGAGGTGTTTAGGCCAGAGAACAGGAGACAGAGAGGGGATGGTGTGTGTGTGTGTTATTGGGTTGTTGTTTTTATTTTGAATATGATACAGTGGTACCTCGGGTTAAGTACTTAATTTGTTCCAGAGGTCTGTTCTCATCCTGAATCAAAGTTCTTAACCCGAGGTGCTATTTTTGGGTGAGCAGAGTCTGTAACCTGAAGCGTCTGTAACCCGAGGTACCACTGTATTGCGGTTTTTATGTTGATCTTGTTCTGTGAACCACCCTAAGACCTCCGGGTATAGGGCAGCATACAAATTCTATCTATCTATCTCACTATTATTATTCTCAGTATTATTATAAGTACTATTTATTAAACCTATTGGTTTTTTCTTACCAATGTAAGTCAAAACAACACACACAAATATATACAGTGTGTGTATGTATGTGTATGTATGTGTATATATATATATATATATATATATATACACACACTCCACAGAGAATACACATGCACAAAACCAAACAGAAAAGCCTTTTTAAAAAAACCTTATAGTTTATATTAAAAGTCAGATTATCTGACTGGGAAGTCCCGGTGTCCGTACCCATGAGGGAACCAGCCACGATGGCGAATCCGAGGCCCTTGCTGATGAAGATTTTGAGGCATGGAACTGAAGGAACAGGGGGAGAGAGACAAAAGGATACAAAACATAATTAATTGCTAGCAGTGATGCTTTTTTCTTTTACAATACTCCTGTGATGCGGGAGATAAATTCCAATTTCTGCACTTAGCAGAAAGCTCCATGAGGGAGCAGCAGCCTTGCTTTCTGCATGGCAGGCAGACATTCCACCGGTGAGGTTTCCCCCATCACTTCGCCTGCTAGAAGTCTACCTGACAGGCGCCTGGCCAATGACAGCCCTGCTTGAGGGGAAAGGGGCGGAGCTTAAAAGCTCCTCGGCTGCTATATGAACTTCGTGCCAGAAACCAACATGGCGCCGAGAGCCTTCACTGTGCTTCGCCCATGACCCTGTTTAGGAGACGATGGACAGCATCTTCATATTGAAAACTTTTTTTAAAAAAAAAAAGCTTTTCTCCCCCCAAAGGATAGTTTCATTTGTAATTCTAGGGCCAAATCTTAATAAAATTAAAAAATCTCGTGGTACTTCCGCCCGGCTGCAAGGTGAGGGAAGACACGAGGCCCGGAAACGGAGCCGAAGGCCACTTCCGCCCTCTACCAAAATGGCCACCGGGATAAAATTTCGCCCTTCGCCAAAATGGCGCCCAGTCGCCCCCCACAGGACACTTCCGCCAGGCCAGGCGTTGCTACGGCGACGACGTGACGGGTCCCCGACAGGACAAAAAGGGCGTCGAAGAGCGCGCGGTACTCACTGTGCAAGAGGTTGAGGCTGAGGAAGAGCTCGTCGTAGCAGTTCTCCGGGAGGACGTGCGGGACCAGCAGGCCCTTCAGAGCCGTCGACGCCGCCATTTTGACGAAGGTGGGAGCGAATGAAGCTGGGCGAAACTTCCGCCTCCATAACCCCTACGCGCCGGAGAGCGAGCGAAACGCCTTTCCCTTGTGCGCATGCGCGGCGTCACCCATCTGCCCGGCGGCCATTTCAACCTTGCCGACCAATGCGCAGGCGCGCCTCGTGCGGGCCGCCATTAAAAGAGCTGCGCGTGCGCACAGCGGGCGACGGGCGCCTTAACCCGCGCATGCGCATTCTCTATGGGACTTTTCTGTGTGTGTGTGTGTGTGTGTGTGTGTGTGTGTGTGTGTGGTTCCTCTGCGCATGCGCCGTTTTTAGCCTGGCATCTTTTGCCAGCGCCCTGAGCTGAGGTGCCGCTTTCCCATTGGCAGGGCAAACTTTGGTCAAGGGACAAAATGGCCGCCACGCCTGGGCAGCCATCTTGCCCCCCAAGTGGCACCCCTGGCCCAGGGAGGGGCGAGGAGGCGCCCCAGCTGCTGCCCACCCTCAGCCGGGGCACCGTGGCGCTGTGCCTCCTCTACTACATGCGCCTCCAGCGGGGCCGGCGCTTGAGGGAGGCCGCCCGACGTCGCCGCGCCGCCCGCCACCGCCGCGCCCAGGCCCGCCAGCGCCAGCGCTTCGCCCTGCTGTGGCTCTGCCGGACGTTGGCCCGGGCGCCCGGCCTGGCGGGCTTCTGCCAGGACCCTGGCAGCGGCGGAGAGGGCGGCCTTCCCCGGCTGCTGCGGGAGCGGCGCCTGTGGAGCAAAGCCCGCAGCTCGGCCTTCTGGGAAATCGTGCGCGCTAAGGCCTTCAGTCAGTGGGAATGGGTGGAGAACTTCCGCGTCTCGCCGGGCACCTTCGACTACCTCTGCGCCCAGCTGCGCGGAGCCATCCAGAGGCGGGACACCAACATGCGCCGCGCCATCCCGGCCGACGTGCGCCTGGCCATGACGCTGTGGCGCCTGGGGGCCTGCACCGAGTACCGGGCGGTGGAGCAGCTCTTTGGCGTCTCCCGCTCCACCGTCTGCAAGATCCTGCGCGACGTCTGCGAGGCCGTGGTGGGCATCCTCACGCCGCTCTACGTGCGGCCCCCGGACCCTGCCGAAGTGGCCGCGGGCAACGGCTTCCCCTTGCCCCAGCTGGCCGGCGTGCTGGGGTCCCTGCACGTCCCCATCCGCGCGCCCAACGAGAACGCGGCCGGCTACTACAACCGCCACGGCTGGCACTCGGTGGTGGTCCAGGCCGCCGTCGATTCCCGCGGCTGCTTCTGGGACATCAACGTCGGCTGCCCAGGACGGGTGACGGACACCCAGGTTTTGTGCACGTCGGAGCTGTACCAGCGTGCGCAAGAGGGAGAGCTGTTTTCGGGGGCGTCCCAAGCCATCCGTGGGGTGCAGGTGCCCGTTTACCTGCTGGGCGGCTGCTCCTACCCGTTCCTGCCGTGGCTCATGAGGCCCTACCGGGACGAAGTCCTAACTCCCACCCAACACCGCTTCAACGAGTACGCCGCTGCCGCACGGACCGTGGTGGGTGTAGCCTTTGGCCGCCTGCGGGGACGCTGGCGCTGCCTCACCAAACGCAACGACACCGACGTCTCCTTCCTGCCCACCCTCATCGCCGCCTGCTGCACCCTCCACAACGTCTGCGAGGCGCGGGGGGACGTCTTCCAGCCCTGCTGGATGGAGCACCACGCTGACGAACAACGGGAGGAACACCCGTTCGATGGCGGCGGGGAGGAGGAGGAAGACGCGGAGGCCGTGGCGATCCGTGACGCGCTGGCGTCAGCGCTGAGAGGCTGATTGGGGAAGAAGTGGAGGAGCTGCAAGACGCTCCTCTGGGAACGGAGCAGCTCGTGTCGCTGCGGAAATCCGCAGGCCGTCGGGTTGCAGAGAACGTTTCGGCAGGCAAATCTGCCCTGGTTGGCAGGGGCTTTGAGAAGAGTTGAAGAGTCCCAAAACTGCCCAGTGGCGGCAGGTTGGCGCAGGCGCATGGACGCCATGTATTTTAAAGTTCAGCATTCGCCATCATCAACCTCCCTCGATAATGTTTTCAGCAGTTATTTCACCTGATGTGTGTTTCCGATCTTGAGGACTAGTGCCGAAAATACAAGGGTGGGTTGGGAAAAGGAAAAAAGCAGGATGCCTTGGAGGGGTGTGTGCATTGGGGAGGGCCGAATAATATTTGGAATTTGGAGGTTAGAAGTGAGTGTGCCGTATCCGATTGGATGGGAAGGTGGGTTTGGAGCTTGCGGGAAGTGGGGAATACTGTTGTTGTTGAGTCGTTTAGTCGTGTCCGCCTCTTCGTGACCCCCTGGACCAGAGCACGCCAGGCCCTCCGGTCTTCCACTGCCTCAATGGTCAAACTCATGCTGGTCGCTTCAAGAACACTGTCCCACCATCTTGTTCTCTGTCATCCCCTTCTCCTTGTGCCCTCCCATCTTTCCCAACATCAGGGTCTTTTCCAGGGAGTCTTCTCTTCTCATGAGGTGGCCAAAGTCTTGGAGCCTCAGCTCCAATACTAGTCTTTAATAAAATACTAGTCTTTAATAAAATCTAGTCTTTAATAAAATGCTAAATATTAAATATTAGTCTTTAATAAAATACTAGACTTTAATAAAATCTTTCTATGTCACGTGCTTCCTGTGTTGAGCTAAAAAATGGCTACGTCTGTAGTTTTTCAGGTTAAGCTATTACAGTTCTTGGAACACGGGAAGCATATGTGTGTGTGGAAAGAGTCTGATTTCCAGAGCCATTGTGGTCTGGTGGTGAGAGTGTCAGACTACGGTCTGGGAGACATGGGTTCGGATCCCCACTCGGCCGCGAAACTCCCTGGGTGTGTGACCTTGGACCAGTCTGTCACTTTCAGCCTAACCTTACAGGGTTTGTTGTGGGGATCAAATGAGACGTGCTTAATCTTTGTACGGCTGGGCGCAGTACAGGCACATAAAAGCCAGAGACGTCTAAACTAATCTCTCCGTCCACAAAGGTATCGTCACAGCCGTGTGAATTTCCAGGCAAGTTTGGAAACCTGGTCAAATGTCAGGTGCGATGGGATTGGGGATGGAGGGTTTCTAGGATCCTGGTGAGGCCATGAGACTTCAATAAGCCGTACTGCTCGCTGTACACCCTTCCCAGCCCAGAGATGTCATTGTTGACGTTTGGGAACTGCCCTTTCTACTCCTCGCACTCGGGTCAAGGAGGAAGAGAAACCACCAATACCTGAATAAATTTCAAAGGTATTTATTTGACCTGTTGTGAGCGGTGGGGTGTTTCGCCTGAAGAGCTTAGGATCAGCGCACTTTGCATATGAAGTTGGGGGTCTTGAGTCCCCCTGAAGGGTTCGCAGAGCAGAGCAGATGAAAGGGCTTGAGGGGCAATCTGGAGGAGCTTATAAAGCGTACTTTCAGAACGCAAATGCACCATTTCGGATTATCGATGCTATGTGCACCAGTTCTTAATACAAGTTTTTGCGGAGAGTCCCACACCCGGATAATACTTTACGTGGTCAGTGCAAAGACTTTGCCCAAACACTTGATCTTAACAAGATAGTTGCTCCAGAAATAAGCCCAGCCTCGTTTCAATTGAGATTGGAGGTTTTTAATCAGAGGTTGGACGGCCGCCTGTCAAGGGGTTTCATAGCTGCATTCCGGGAGCGGGTTGGACTAGATGACCCTTGGGAATCCCAGCAGAACAATTCTGTGATTCTCCTCCCAGATTTAAAGTGCAGTCTGACAGAAGTGAGATGTAACTGCCCCTCAGCCCACAAATTGCACCTTTGTGCAGAAACGTATCGTCCTTTTCACTTCCTCCAGGTGTGTCTTGTGCGAACCAGCAGTCCAAGCGAGTGAATGAAACAGGTGCGAGTCTAGCGACTCGGAGAACTCCCACCCCACCCCTGAGGGGGGGGGTGTCAACCCCCTGCCCCCCTGTTGCAGAAAGACACCCCCCTTTTAAAAAAAAAACCAAAGCCCCATTCTTGGTTCTCTTTAGGCCCAGCTGTGGGAAACGGCTTCCCCTTTAAATGGTTTGATAGCCCCTGTGGCCACGCGCTCGCCCAATCAAAAAGGCCACGACCACGATGAGGATGAGGACCAGAAGGAGGACGCCGATAATGATGGGCACCAAGAGGGTGCGTCTCTGCTCCGGGCAGACCTCGGCTGAAACAGGCAAAGAAGGAATTCAGTGAGGAGAGGAAGGAAAATCGGGATGTGCAAAACACCGAACTGGAGAGAGACTCGAAAAGTCTGTGGGCAAACGGGCTGTGCCAAAAGGATGGCATGGAAAGTTTAGACTAACAATGCATTGGATTACTAAGACACCTGCACACTGAAGTATGGGGACGCGGGTTGCGCTGTGGGTTAAACCACAGAGCCTAGGACTTGCCGATCAGAAGGTCAGTGGTTTGAATCCCAGTGACGGGGTGAGCTCCCGTTGCTCGGTCCCTGCTCCTGCCCACCTAGCAGTTGGAAAGCACGTCAAAGTGCAAGTAGATAAATAGGTACCGCTCCGGCGGGAAGGTAAACGGCGTTTCCGTGTACTGCTCTGGTTCGCCAGAAGTGGCTTAGTCATGCTGGCCACATGACTTGGAAAAACTGCGGACAAACGCCAGCTCCCTCGGCCAGTAAAGCGAGATGAGCACCGCAACCCCAGAGTCGGCCACGACTGGACCTAATGGTCAGGGGTCCCTTTACACTGAAGTATAGCTGTTTAAAGAAAAGGAAATAAAGAACTGCCTGCGGTACGATGCAGGGAGTCTCTCACCTTCCCCAAATTTTCCACCTTGAAGCTCAAAGGCCTGGACCTGCTCTTGCAGGGCGTTGAGATGAAAGCCTTCTGCCAGGAACAAGGTGCGGTTCCGGCACTGGTAAGAGTGCCCAAGTCTGGCCTCGAACTCGCGGAGAGAGGAATTGTCGGCTCTGAAGGATTTCGCTGGAGGGACAGAGAGAGTCGTTTGGGGCCTCTTGAACCACCTGGAAACCCTTCTTGAATCTTAACACAGCATGTGGATTAATGCGTACAGTGGTGCCCCACAAGACGAATGCCTCGCAAGACGAAAAACTCGCTAGACGAAAGGGTTTTGCGTTTTTTGAGCTGCTTCGCAAGACGAATTTCCCTATGGGCTTGCTTCGCAAGACGAAACGTCTTGCGAGTTCTTGCGAGTTTGTTTCCTTTTTCTTAAAGCCGCTAAGCCGCTAATAGCCGTGCTTCGCAAGATGAAAAAACCGCAAGACGAAGAGACTCGCGGAACGGATTAATTTCGTCTTGCGAGGCACCACTGTAATCACCTCTGGGAAGCCACGGCAAATCTCAGCCTATAGCCCACCTGGCAGAATCGCTGTGCGGGTTCGCAGAACCGTACAGTTGGAAAGGGAACCTAGGGGTCATTTATTCCAACCCTCCGGAACGTGACCGACCCCCATGGCTCTTTTTGCTCCACCCCACAAAGGAGGAACAACACCCTCTGGTTCCTCCGTGATCCCTTTAGCTGCTGAAGGGATCTTGGCAGGATTCGCTTTCTGTTCCCTCATGCCTCCGAATCACCCTCTAAAATTTGCTGACGGGCCAAAGCCGTCGTAAACAGGCTTACGGCTGGGGTGGAACCCCATAAAAATGACATTTACAGGGCTTACTATGGACGTATTTTTTCAAGAGCTGCACGGCAGGCAGAAACCCAACTGGTGTAGCGCCCCCCAATTTGAGCATTTCCATGGCAGAATAGGCCTCACCTCAAGAGGTCCATGAGCAATGATGGCAACCCCCGAATTCAGAGCCAGCCCCCCACAAATGACCTTACCTGCAGCCTGATGGAACTGGTACGTTAGGTAGGCCTGCACCCGACTCAGGTAGAATATATTTCTGGTGTAATTCTAAGGAAACAAAGAGACCTGGGTTAGTTTTTCCTGATCCACACCTGTTTTAGGGTAACACAGGCTGCAACTTAGGATCTGCGAGGTTTACGAGACAAAGCCAATTCGCTGCCCCGCTGGAAGCACCCGTTCCAGATTAATTCCCCTTTTTTTTTAAATAAAATTTTTATTGGGTTTTCACAGCTTATATAGACACACACAATACACAACACAGACACACAGACAAAAGACAAACATACAAAATTTCAAATCCTTATTTTCTTAACCACTTCCCCTGACTTCCCCACACCTCCCCTTCTTGCATCCTAATTCCAAAAGTTGACTCAGCAAGTTCTTATCTCCAACTTTTACCTTATTAATATTTTACTTATTTCTTTTAATTAACCAAAATTATCTTATAAACCCCAATTAAACCACTATACTCATCTTATACATCCTTTTCTAAGGTCGACCCAAATTCCCTTCCACCAATTTCCCAATTTTTATATTAATTACAAAACATATAGGTTGTACACCCTTTGGGTTCCAAAACTCTCGCCCCCCCCTTTCCCGGTTTCGATCCCCAAGGAATATCCATCAGTCTATCAGTTCTCAGCCTGGATCCCTCACGTCCGTTCCAGATTAATTCCCACCCCCTGCCCTCCCTGAGCACTAGCCGCAATAGCCTCCCAATGAACCATTTTAAAGTTTCAAACTTTTTAAAAAAATCATGTTTTGTTTCTCCTCTCCAATGTGGTGATTGAACTTCAACTGGGCACGTATTTCTCCGAAGGGGAAGTGGCGGCGGTTGAAATCAATTTGGGGAATTGAGGTGAATTTGGGGAAGAGGTGAGCGGAGTGGCGATGTGACCCGCGTTTATAAAATATAAATAAATAAATGGAAACAAAAACTGTGGCGTGGAGAAAGCAGAAAGAAGTGTTTTCCTTCCTCATAACAACTAGAATTCGTGAAGCTGGAAGTTTGGAGGTTCAGGAAAGGCGAAAGGAAGTCCTTTTTCACACAGTGCAAACTGCGGAACTCCATTCCACTTGAATAGGATTGGACAAATCCATGGAAGAGGATGGCTACCGGCCAAGATGGCTACGCTCTGCCCTCTACGGTCGGAGGCAGGAAATGCTTCTGAAAGCAGAGGGGGATTTGTGTTCGAATCCCGCTTGTGAGCTTCCCGTTACGGCTTCTAGCCAGCCGCTGTGAGAACAGCATGCTGGACTGGAGGGGCCCGATCCTGCAAACTCTTCTTAGGTTCTTGGACTACTGCAATGAGCTGTACGTGCGGCTACCTTTGAAGGTGACCCGGAAACTGCAACTAATCCAGAATGCGGCAGCTAGACTGGGGACTGGGAGACCACATAACACCGGTCTTGAAAGACCTACATTGGCTCCCAGGACATTTCCGAGCACAAAGTGTTGGTGCTGCACTTGAAAGCCCTAAACGGCCTCAAAGGCCCAGTATCCCTGAGGGAGAGTCTCCACCTCCATCGTCCAGCCCTGACACTGAGATCCAGCTCCGAGGGCCTTCTGGCGGTTCCCTCCCTGAGAGAAGTGAGGTTACAGGGAACCAGGCACAGGGCCTTCTCGGTGGTGGCCCCCGCCCTGTGGAACACCCTCCCTTGTGAAGGAAATAAGCAGCTATTCTATCTTTAAAAGACATCTGAAGGCAGCCCTGTTTAGGGAAGTTTTTAACGCTGTATTGTTTTTAACACTCGATTGGGAGCCGCCTGGAGTGGCTGGGGAAACTCAGCCAGATGGGCGGGGTATAAATAATAAATTATTATTATATTCTCGGGATGGGGTCGGCGTGCGCCAGCCGCGCCAGCAGGCCTCTGCCAAGCCAGTCTTTCCGGCCTCCGATGCAGCTGGCTCGAAGGACCTTTTGCCAGAGAGTGACTCATGGCTTGGATCAGCCAGGAGTTTCCAGGCCAGTTCAGCTTCCTAAATTGCAGCCGAGTCGTCTTGCCGCCCACAGCTGGGCTCGTGACGCACCTGAACCCATAGGCTGATAGGCGTGGGTCCGTACCACGCTGGAACGTTCGGAGGACCCGCCTTTCAAGGAAGACATTTGCATTGGTGTTCGTGCCAGGTTAGGTTTGCTATGAGCGCATCAGTCATGCGCTGAACTCGGCCAGCTTTTAAAACAAACTCATCAGCTTTTAAAAGAAATTACCGTATTTTTTGCTCTATAAGACTCACTTTTCCCTCCTAAAAAGTAAGGGGAAATGTGTGTGCGTCTTATGGAGCGAATGCAGGCTGCGCAGCTATCCCAGAAGCCAGAACAGCAAGAGGGATTGCTGCTTTCACTGCGCAGAGATCCCTCTTGCTGTTCTGGCTTCTGAGATTCAGAATATTTTTTTTCTTGTTTTCCTCCTCCAAAAACTAGGTGCGTCTTGTGGTCTGGTGCGTCTTATAGAGCGAAAAATACGGTGCGTTGCTCTGATTTTAAGATAAACACAGAGAGGGAAATGGTGCTGGAAAGTTTAATAGGTTAGGTGTTCCTGTTCCCCCAATTCCCATTTCATTCCCGAACTTTCCCACCCAGGAAGGAAGACACACTTAATCAACTTGAATTGGACCTGATAATAACTTAATCAACTTGAATTGGACCTGGTAATAACTTAATCAACTTGAAATGGACCTGGTAATAATAATTTTAGATTAGATATTAGATTAGGAGGGACGCGGGTGGCGCTGTGGGTAAAAGCCTCAGCGCCTAGGGCTTGCCGATTGAAAGGTCGGCGGTTCGAATCCCCGCGGCGGGGTGCGCTCCCGTTGCTCGGTCCCAGCGCCTGCCAACCTAGCAGTTCAAAAGCACCCCTGGGTGCAAGTAGATAAATAGGGACCGCTTACTGGCGGGAAGGTAAACGGCGTTCCGTGTGCTGCGCTGGCTCGCCAGAGCAGCGATGTCACGCTGGCCACGTGACCCGGAAGTGTCTCCGGACAGCGCTGGCCCCCGGCCTCTTGAGTGAGATGGGCGCACAACCCCAGAGTCTGGCAAGACTGGCCCGTACGGGCAGGGGTACCTTTACCTTTACCTTTATTAGATTAGGAGTATCAAAGAGAGAGACATAAGGCTAGATGCTCCAAATCTCTGGCAGCGTCCGTTCAAACCGGCGCCATACCACTTTAAACGGTAATGACTCCCCTGGCCGAGAGAATGCTGGGAATTGTAGTTTGTTAAGAATTGTTAGGGTACCTTTATTGCTCTCTCAGAGCTGCTATTCCCAGACTGGTTCCCTTCTCAGGGAATTGCATCTGGGAGTGGGATAGGGGTCTCCTTAACAACCCTCTTTCTTTGGGACCAGAAGAAATTTGCAGAGAAGGAAAGGCTCAGAGAAATTCACAGAGAGAGGAGGTCTGCTTGTTGTTGGCCGCAGTCATTCAATAGAACCTCCAAAGTCAGGGGCTGCGTACCTTTAAAGACCAGGCATTGGGGATACACCTTTTCATGACCCCCGCCAGCCCCCCTCTCCAATCCTCCCTCTCACCTTTCTGAAAGTAAAGAGAAGGTCGCCCTCTAGGAAGTGCAGGTGGAGGACAGCTGTTTGGTTGGTACAGTTCCCGGAAAACTCTGTGCGGTTGGGGTTCACTGCAAAGTCCCCCCAGACCTGGAAGAGAGGAAGAGTGAAGGTGTGTGAGAGAGAGCAGGACCCTACAAATCCCCAGGAAAATTCAGCTTGGACCTAGAGCAGGAGGGAGAAACTGGCACAAGCCCAACGTTCAGCCACGTCGCGCCCGTTTAGTGAGCGACCCAAGAGTCTAGGCTCCTTTCTTTCTATAGCCATAGAAAGCTAAGGCTGTCGTCACGCATCTCCCGCTGGAGGATTTGAAGCTGAAAAGCAAGCTTAGCTGTTGCAGGGGAAGGGGAAAGCTCTAATAACTCCCTCCATGAATTTGCCTCTTTTTAAAGCCATCCGTGTTGGTGGCCACCCCTGCCTCCAGTGGGAGGGAGTTCCGCATTTCAACTCTGTGCTGCGAGAAGAACTTCCTTCCAGTTTTTCTTCCCACGTGTACATAAGCAGCAGCTTAGGAGAGGGTTGGGGGGTCCCAGTCCACCTGCAGTGCACCGCTTGGGCCCAGATAATTCTGCCAGTACCCAGAGTGAGCCCTGACAGAATTGTAGAATTGGAGGGGACACCATAGGGTCCTCTAGCCCAACCCGCTGCAATGCAGGAATCTCAACACGTCGTGCCCCATCCAATTTGAAACCATACCAGTTCCTGCTTAGCTTTGCAAACGTACCAGCAGTTTCATTGCTGCGCCACCAGATTTTTATTTCCCTTTTGGAGAGTTCATCTATCTATCTATCATCTATCTATCTATCTATCTATCTATCTATCTATCTATCTATCTATCTATCTGATGCTGTCCAGGGTTGTAAAGACTGCAGAGAGAATAATTGGGTGCCCACTTCCCACCTTGGATCAAATCTATGCTTCCAGGTGTCATAAGAAAGCGACAGAGATAGCGCAGGATAGTGCGCACCCTGGAAATGATCTCTTTCAGCTTCTGCCTTCTGGTAGAAGGTACAGGGTTATAAAGACCAGGACTAGCCGCCTGAGAAACACTTTCCAGCCAAATGCGATTTTTGGTTTTAAATGCAGTGTAAGGTAGTCTTTATGGGAGTGTATAGTATTTAATTATGGGGTATCAGAGTTTTTAGGGGGCTAACCAGGCTGGGATATCAGGCTTGTTGGTTTTTGAATGTCTGATGTAGATTTTTTCAATTTCGTTGTACTGTATGGCAGTGTTTCCCAACCGGTGTTCCGCGGCACACGAGTGTGCCGTGAGACATCGGCTGGTGTGCCGCGAGATGCCTGGAGGGAGGCGGGCGAGTCGGGCGGCGAGAGGCGGGGCGGCGGCGGCGAGGAGAGGCCGCGCCTCCTGCTGCTGCCTGGCGCTCCTCCTCGCAGCCGGCAGCGCTGCCTGGGCGCCTCCGCGCGACTCTGCCTCGCTGGGTTTGGTCTCCCAGCAGAGACGGGTCACACGCGCACCTCCCTCCCTCCCTCAGCCTGCGCGGAGGAAGAGCCAGAGAGAGGCATCGCTCCTGCGCGGCGGGAGAGGGAGCAGCCGGAGCGATGCCCCTTGAAATCTTCGCCCTGCCTTCTTCTGGAGCGACGGAGAGCCTCTTAAAACTCGTCCGTCCGCTTCTCTCCCTGCCAAGAGGCGTCCAGCAAGCCGGCTTTGCCAGCGGAGCCAGCCTTGGAACAGACCCATCCGTCAAGCGGGGATTGTGCGTCCTCCTGGACAGAGTGTAAGCAACCGGGTTTAATTTGGGTTACGCGGAACTCCAGCGCTCAGGGCGGGAGTTTAGGAAATCCAATCGGGTGGCGCCGCTCTTCCTTGGGACCCCATGGGGAAACACTGGGGACCTACTTCTAAGCAAACGGGTCTACACGTCTCTCTGCCCCCCCCTTTAACCTTTAGCTTCAAAGCCAGAGCAAACCGAGGCTAAATCCGTATTTACATAGGATAGCTTTCGTGCGTCCCTCCCGGCGTGACGCTGCGTGCTGACGTCACGGGGCGGGGCTTTAATGGTGGTGTGCCGCGAGATTTTTTTTCAGTAAACAGGTGTGCCGTTGCCCAAAAAAGTTTGGGAAACACTGCTGTATGGGACAATGACAATAAAGATTATCGTATCTATCGATAATCTGCATTTGTGTTGTGGCGTTTGCTCAGGGGGTTTTTCTACCTAGCCAATTTCGTCTTTTGTCTGTGGGTTGGACACTGCTACCTCCCCACCCCACAGGTCTCGCTTCCCTCTGAAGATCCTGCGGCTTCCAAGCCTAAACTGCAAAGCCACAGACTTCCTAAAGCATGCACAATTTTTATGAATTTATTAAAGGCTGTCGAAAGCACGAGCGAGCAGAAGATGTTGCCGCATGCCGTAAATGGGGAAAGGTGCAAATGACCCTCGGGATTGGGTCCCCTGCATTTGGGAGGGCATTGTGGAATTGGAAGCACAGAATCATTGAATTGTAGAATTGGGGGGGAACCCCAAAGGTCATCCAGTCCAACCCGCCTGCAATGTAGGACTTCCAGCTAAAACATCCACGACAGATAGCCATACAAGGGCAATCGAAGCAATTGAAACCCCAGTATTAAGTAACTTCCTCTAAGTGCCCAGCCAATGTGTATTTTCCTTTTCCCTAAAAAACCCCCACAAAACCTATTAATATAAACACAGAATTTAAATACTGGGCTATACATATATTTATCAGGCAATCCTAAGAGGTCTGTTAAGGGCAGATGTATTCGGAAACTTTACCACTCCTTGACGTCAAATCCTAGAATCGTAGAGAAAACCACATATAATTTGAGATTTTCATGAGGCCTAGAAGCTCCAGGCATGTTTTATATGATTCTGCCTTCCCTTCATTTTTACATATTACAGCAGAACCATCCTGTTCAAGCAAGTCTGTTGGCAGACGTGGAACTTAACCACCAGATAATGTCGATATTCTTCGCTTGGACTTTGCCCCTTTAACCCTTTGTTTTCAAGTTTCATTTCCCGTCTTCGCTTCAACTGCCGCCATAGCTGTTCTCTCCTATTACATTGCGGGAAATTGAATCGGGAACATTTACCGAGGGAAATGGCGTCTTCCCCTGCAAGACCAGAGGGGCAGGAAGGAGGCCGAGGGCAGGCGGTGCAACATACAGGGAAAAAACTTCCTGTCCTCTAACCACTGAGCTTCACTCCCTGACAGTCCCCTCCCAGCTTAAGCCGCTGGGCCTGTGTCAATATGGAAAGGGAAAAGGGGAAGCAGAAATGACCACTCAGAGCTGGTCGGTCTCTTCTCGTCCCCCAGGAGCCCAGGCCGCCAGCACCTCCTTGCTCAACATTCCTCGTTCAGACACAACCACAGAATTGTAGCGTTGGGAGGGACCCCGGTTTATCAGCTCCATCTGGTACGCAGGATGAGACCCTCCCTGCCCGCAGACTGTCTCGCCAGAGTGGTGCTTGCTCTGGTTATCTCCAGCTTGGACTACTGCTATGCGCTCCACGTGGGGCTACCTTTGAAGGTGACCCGGAAACTGCAACTAATCCAGAATGCGGCAGCTAGACTGGGGACTGGGAGACCACATAACACCGGTCCTGAAAGACCTCCATTGGCTCCCAAGACGTTTCCAAGCACAATTCAAAGTGTTGGTGCTGACCTTCAAAGCCCTAAACGGCCTCAGTCCAGTATCCCTGAAGGAATGTCTCCACCCCCATCGTTCTGCCCGGACACTGAGGTCCAGCTCCGAGGGTCTTCTGGCAGTTCCCTCATTGCGAGAAGCAAGGTTACAGGGAACCAGACACAGGGCCTTCTCAGTGGTGGCACCCGCCCTGTGGAACGCTCTCCCACCAGATGTCAAGGAAATAAACAACTACCTGACTTTTAGAAGACATCTGAAGGCAGCCCTGTTTAGGGAAGCTTTTAATGTTTAATAGGTTATTGTATTTTAATATTCCGTTGGAAGCCGCCCAGAGTGGCTGGGAAAACCCAGCCAGATGGGCGGGGTATAAATAATAATTATTATTATCCAGCCCAACCCAGAACCCCTGACAGGCAGCCGTCCCGACCTGGGCTTGAAAGCCTCCGACGGAGGACAGGCCACAGCCTCCCGAGGTCACGGAATCACCATCTCCCCAACAGCCGCCCAGATCTCTTACCTCCTGCTTAGCCTTGTCGGTATAGCGGACTCGGAGCTGCAGCGCCGCTTGAACCCGCAAACACGGGTTCGAGCCCTTTGGGACCGCATAATCTCCAACGCGGACGACGGGTGGTTGTGTGGGCTGATGGGTGGGGGCGGGGTGTGGGGTGGTGCGGTTCCTGGGGTGTGTCGTGGGGTGGAGAGTGGTGTGCTTCTTGGAGTGCGGTGTGGTGTGTGTTGTGGGGTGCGCCGTGGTGTGTTTTGTGTGGTGGGCCGTGGTGTGTTTGTGGGCCGTGGCGTGGTGTGTGTTTTGTGTGGTGCGCCGTGGTGTGCTTTGTGGGCCGTGGCGTGGTGTGTTTTGTGTGGTGCGCCGTGGTGTGCTTTGTGGGCCGTGGCGTGGTGTGTTTTGTGTGGTGCGCTGTGGTGTGTTTCGTGGGGTGCGCCGTGCTGTGTTTTGTGTGGTGCGCCGTGGTGTGTTTCGTGGGGTGCGCCGTGGTCTTGGTGAACGAGGGCAGCAGCGTAACCGACTTCTTGCGGCGCGGGCAGCCTGGGTCGGAGCCATCGGCGCCAGAGCACAGCGGAGACTCCACAAATCCCGTCTCTTTCATGGCCGCTTGGGACGTCTCCGTATATTGAGCAGAGCTGCAAGCTGGGCAGAGAGAGAGAGATGGAAACATCAGTCCTGGGCACCCATGGGGTGACAGCCAAGCTTCCAGCCTCCCTAGCCCCTAACCCCAGCTTAACAACACCTCTCCGGTCGACCTACAGCGGTACCTCGGGTTACAGACACTTCAGGTTACAGACTCCGCTAACCCAGAAATAGTACCTCGGGTTAAGAACTTCAGGATGAGAACAGAAATTGCGAGGCAGCAGGAGGCCCCATTAGCTAAAGTGGTGCTTCAGGTTAAGAACAGTTAAGAACGGACTTCCGGAACGTATTCTTAACCCGAGGTACCACTGTATTTATTAATTGAATCAAAATCTATCGCCTTTCCGTCCCACCATTTTCTCAAGGTTGTTCGCACGGTTCTTATTCCTCAATGAATGCACAGAAGGCAGGCCAAGGTTGGTTTTGTGGCTGAACTGGTGTGGGATTTGAACCCGGGTCCGGGTCTCCCCCCAGTCCAACATCCAAACCAGGCTGCCTCTTTTGGAGAGGAGTCAACAGGTTTTTCGGAACCGTTCTCCCTCGGGCGGATATGGGCTCTTCTTCCTTGGAGATTTTTAAGCAGATGTTCGATGGCCAACTGTCATGGACTCTTAGCTGAGATTCCTGCATTTCTTGGGGTTGGGCTGGATGAGCTTTGGGGTCCCTCCGAACACAGCAACTCTCTGTTTCTTGCTGCCTAGCTGCCACACGACAAAGGGAACCTGGAGGCCAGGTACGGACAAATATATATGTACACCAACCTGCCAGCAAGAAGCATCCGATGAGCCAAATTGAAGACATCGCTGCCGGTCCCATCTCTCCGAACAGGGCTCGATCCGCTGCACCTTTCCCGCCTCTCGCCCTGGGAGCCTCTGCTCGCTTCTGTCTCGTGCTCCCGCAGCTCTCAAATAAAGGGAAGGAAATGAAATTTGCTGCCTTCACAACCAGTGACTCAGTTGGGTACTGAATTGCCAAATACCCAGTAGCCACGGGATCCGGGGGAGTTTTGCTTCCCCCTGACACACGACGCAGGCGGCAGCTGAACCTTCTCTGTCGCCACTGTTGAGCTCTGCATCTTTTTCTGCTTTTTAAATAAAAACCAAAAGCCACAATTAACCTGGGGTTGGGGAGAGACAGGTGGGTTCATCGCCCTGCCCAGCACAGGACAGGTGCAGTGGCTTCTGGGAGACAGGTGAGTGAACCTTTTAAAGCAGGCATATGCAAACGCTGGCCCTCCAGATGTTTGAGACTACAATTCCCATCATCTCATCCCTGACCCACTGGCCCTGTTAGCTAGGGATGGTGGGAATTGTAGTCCCAAACATCTGGAGGGCCGGAGTTTGCCTACGCCTGATTTAAAGCAACTCAGCCAACACAATGCCATCCAGGCGTCTTTGGACTACAACTCCCATCATCCAGCATCAGCTTAGCCAGTTGTCATGGATGATGGGAGTTGTAGTCCAACATGTGGAGACACTTCCCGGGATCAAACTTGGGAATTCTAGCATGCAGGGCGCGATCCTCCCCATCACAATCTTTCGAGGCAAGGCGCTGGGCCCCTACTTGCAGGGCCCAACCTCCAGGGAGGTTTTTTTGGCAGCAGCCAAAATCCTTTTTGAAATTTATTTCCAGAGGCTTTTCTTGAGTTGGTTCCAGTTCAGCTGCTGCTTTGCTGTATAGAGTTTGCGTGCTTTGAAATCCTGCGATGTCCCCACCTCGCTTTGCCCCACAAGTGGTAGCACTGGGGGATAGGGTATCAACCTTCTAAATAAAATAAAAAGGGGGGATTTTTAAAAAAGAAACAAAAATAAACTGAGAGAATGTAAGAAGAGGACTGCAGATAGATTATCCAAAGTGGGGCATTCTTGCTGTGGTTGTGGTTGTTGTTGTTTAGTCGTTTAGTCGTGTCCTCCTCTTCGTGGCCCCCTGGACCAGAGAACGCCAGGCCCTCCTGTCTTCCACTGCCTCCCGCAGTTTGGTCAAACTCATGTTAGTCGCTTCGAGAACCACTGTCCCACCATCTCGTCCTCCGTCGTCCCCTTCTCCTTGTGCCCTCCATCTTTCCCAACATCAGGGTCTTATCCAGGGAGTCTTCTCTTCTCATGAGGGGGCCAAAGTCTTGGAGCCTCAGCTTCAGGATCTGTCCTTCCAGGGAGCACTCAGGGCTGATTTCCTTCAGAATGGAGAGGTTGGATCTTCTTGCAGTCCATGGGACTCTCAAGAGTCTCCTCCAGCACCAGAATTCAAAAGCATCCATTCTTCGGCGATCAGCCTTCTTTATGGTCCAGCTCTCACTTCCATACATCACTACTGGGAAAAACCAGAGATTTAACAATACGGACCTTTGTTGGCAAGGTGATGTCTCTGCTTTTTAAGATGCTGTCTAGGTTTGTCTCGCTGTGGTAGCTTCTTGAAACTTTTACATTATCGCTGTTACTTTTTCTTAGTGGTCATTATATCGTTTTATCGTCTTGGTGAACCGCGCCGAGGTTTGTTTAAAAACCAGTGTCTATATTTTATGTATGTGGACATATATGCACTTTCCCCCAAGGACATACGCAATAGACAATCTTTTATAGAATTACTTCAAACCATAACAAGTCCAAAATGAAATCTTTAAGTCTCAAAGTCTCTGAAAATCTTTAAAAGAAGCGAGGTCCCAGACTTTGTACGATGAAAGACAAGCTGTGAAGCTTTGTGTATTCAGCAAATATGATGTCCAACACTGAACAGTGATTCCGGATATTGACTACTGTTTTGTAGAATTATTCATCAGCATGGTGGGAAGATATAGAATTGCTTCATAAACCCATCTTATTTCGAATGAATGTATGTAAATGTAAATATCAAATGCTGTGGAACAGTGCTCATGTAATAATGTAGTCATTTCACAGCTTGTCTTTCATCGTTCAAAGTGTGGGACCTCGCTTCATTTAATAAATAATATTTTTATTATTATTTATATCCCGCCCTTCCCAGCCAAATACGGGCTCAGAGTGGCTAACAACAGTAAAATAATACAACATTCTAAAATCATTTCATTATAAAAGTAATTCAAATCAAATTGATGGCAACCATTGGGCTAAAGTTCTGTGAAGATTGCCAAAGGAGGGGGTCAGACTGTGCCTTGGCCAAAGGCCTGGTGGAACAGCTCTGTCTTGCAGGCCCTGCGGAAAGATGTCAAGTCCCGCAGGGCCCTAGTCTCTTGTGACAGAGCATTCCACCAGATCGGGGCCACAGCCGAAAAGGCCCTGGTTCTGGTTGAGGCCAGCCTAGCCTCTCTGTGGCCCGGGATCTCCAAGATGTTTTTGTTTGAAGACCATAACGTCCTCTGTGGGACATACCAGGAGAGGCGGTCCCGTAGGTACAAGGGTCCTGGCCGTATAGGGCTTTAAAGGTTAAAACCAGCACCTTAAACCTGATCCTGTACTCCACCGGGAGCCAGTGCAGCTGGTATAGCCCCGGGTGAATGTGATCTCGCAGCGAAGACCCCATAAGGAGTCTCGCCGCGGCATTCTGCACCCGCTGGAGTTTCTGGGTCAGTCTCAAGGGCAGCCCCACGTAGAGCGAGTTACCATAATCCAGTCCGGAGGTGACAATCGCGTGGACCACAGCGGCCAGGTCAGGGCGAGAGAGGTAAGGAGCCAACTGCTTAGCTTGGCGGAGATGGAAAAATGCCGCCTTTGTTATAGCTGCAATCTGCGCCTCCATGGAAAGGGAGGTGTCGAAGATGACACCCAAACTCTTAACGGACGGTGCTGGCACTAATTGCGCCCCCGCAAGAGATGGGAGTTGCCCCCCCAATCCCATATCGTCCCGACCCAGCCATTTAAAGATTTTCAGAGACTTTGAGGCTAAAGATTTCATTTTGGACTTCTTGTGGTCTGAAGGAATTCTATAAAAGATTGTCTATTGCACATGCACATGGTCATTGTGTTGCCTAGACATTGCCGACGTTCTCTTTGCAACACACGGATTTGTTTGGTTATTTCTCCGCAAGGAAACAGCCCCCCTGGCCTGGATGCTCCTGGCAATACCGGGTGCCTTGAGGCAGGCGGTGGTGGTCTGTGGTGCAGGAGATGAGCTGTGAGCCGACTTGGGCCGAGAAGACAGATCACCCGGCTGTGTCTCATGGTGGCCTCGCTGGCCTGTGAGTCAGCAGATCTCTCCTTCCTCATCTCAGCCCGCAGGAGGACAGTCTGACACTCATGTGATGGAGAAGACACCCAAAATGAGCGCTAAGTGAGTTTTCTTCCGCCCAGCCCAGCCGCCAACCTGACGGTTGGGACCACAGCTCAAGGTGGCTCAAAAGGAGAATTGGGCAACTTTTTACAGAGGATAGCAGGGGCTTCTGGAACCGGATGGGAACACGAGCGTCATCTATCGTGATAATAATTTTACTATTTATCATGCCACCCGTCTGTCTGGGTTTCTCTGGCCTCTCTCGGCAGCTCCCCACAAATATTAGGTAAAGGTAAAGGGACCCCTGACCGTTAGGTCCAGTCACCGACAACTCTGGCGTTGCGGCGCTCATCTCGCTTTATTGGCCGAGGGAGCAAGCATACAGCTTCCGGGTCATATGGCCAGCTTGACTAAGCCGCTTCTGGCGAACCAGAGCAGCGCACGGAAACGCTGTTTACCTTCCCACCGGAGCAGTACCTATTTATCTACTTGCACTTTGACGTGCTTTCGAACTGCTAGGTTGGCAGGAGCAGGGACCGAGCAACGGGAGCTCACCCCGTCATTGCGGGGATTCAAACCGCCAACCTTCCGATCGGCAAGTCCTAGGCTCTGTGGTTTAACCCACAGCGCCACCCGCATCCCTCCACAAATATTAAATACACAATAAATTGCAATGCAGGAATGTGCAGCTGCCCATGATGGGAATCGAACCTGCCACCTGTTGGCTTACAGAAGGTTTACGTTATTAGATACAACTGAAGTAGTCATAAGCCCACACTTTCCGAGCAACACAGCCCCAATGTGGCTTGCCTCGTTAGCGTAATTATTATTATTTTGGTAAATGATTTTTATTAAAGTTTATATTTTTTAAACAAAATCACAAACAATATAAACACAAAATGAATTCTCAAGTACCACCTCCCCACGACTTCCCTTCCTGGTTTTTTACACATTCATTTCTCCTGCTTGTTATCTTAATATGGTCCTTCCTAACATTTTATCCTCATTTTTCTATTTTCACTATTTATTTTGCCAATTGTACGTTTTTGGTCAAACCCTGCAAGTGCGTTTATTTCTTTACATTGTTTCTGTAGGTATAACCTAAAAGGTTCCCAGTTTTTTATAAAAAGTCTCTTTTGTCCTTATCTTTGAGTCTTCCAGTCGAGTTCACCATTTCAGCGTACTCCATCAAGCGTTTTCATTAATCAATCAAATCTGCATGCCACCCTATACCTGTAAGATCTCACAACATGAAATCGCAATGTTGGATTTTGCAGGAAGGATAACTCTGGGGCTTCAAGAACAGCTGGCACACCGCTATTATATGCTAAGCCTCCAGATAGTCTGGACTACAGTTCCCATCGTGCCTCAGAAGGGTACCCCTATGGGGCAACTCTGGGGTTGGAAGCAGGGCCTACCTATTGGGGGGGGGTCAAACCTGCCCCCCCCAAGTCCTCTACCTTTGCTTCAAGAAAGAGATGATTTACTGCTGTCTCAGGCTTAAGGCCAGGCAGCCAAGCCTAGACTACTGCAGCACGCTTTTTGTGGGGCAGTCCTTGGACCCCATTTGGAGGCTGCCAAGGGACGCGGGTGGCGCTGTGGGTTAAACCACTGAGCCTAGGGCTTGCCGACCAGGAGGAGAATCGGGATGTGCCAAACACTGAATTGGAGAGACACTCAAAAAGTCTGCAGTCAAAAGGGCTTTGCCAAAAGGATAGCATGGAAAGTTTAGACTAAAAATGCATTGGATTATTAAGACACCTGCACATGGAAGTATGGGGACGCGGGTGGCGCTGTGGGTTAAACCAGAACCTAGGCCTTGCTGATCGGAAGGTTGGTGGTTCGAATCCCCGTGACGGGGTGAGCTCCCATTGTTCGGTCCCTGCTCCTGCCCACCTAGCAGTTCAAAAGCACGTTAAAGTGCAAGTAGATAAATAGGCACCACTCCGGCGGGAAGGTAAACGGCGTTTCCATGCGCTGCTCTGGTTCGCCAGAAGCGGCTTAGTCCTGCTGGCCACATGACCCGGAAGCTGTACGCCGGCTCCCTCAGCCAGTAAAGCGAGATGTGTGTCGCAACCCCAGAGTCGGCCACGACTGGACCTAATGGTCAGGGGTCCCTTTATCTTTAGCTGCTCCCAGGTGCATTAGCAAAACCCACCCAGCTGACCACCCCACTTTGCTTGCCCAACAAGAACAGGTTGAGGAAATGTCTGTTAAGGGGGTCAAGGGATACATCCCAAACAAAGCACCACCACCGTTGTCATTTTCAGACTTCAAAACCCAAGCCGTGTCAAAAACTTGCCATTTAGTTTTTCAAACCTTTTTTACAAATTCAGTATTAGAAACTTATCTTTCGAGTCCTCAAAACGAGGTTTGTAGCCGGCATCCCGTTAAGGCTGTGTTCAATTTTAGGTTTTTCTAATTTCTTCCCCTTAAACTTTCTGATTCTTATTAATTTATTTCCATAATATTTCTAGTCGATCACTTCTTGTTTCATGGAATTTCATTTGTTTTGTGCAACTTCTCGGTTCTGTGACTGTCTTTTTTTTCTACTGATCTCTTTCTTAGCATTTCCTGTTCTTTGCACCGGCGATAAATGCCTTCATTTTGCATCACACCTTTCTTTAAAGAAGGATCTCAAAGCCCCCTGCTGTCCATTAAAAAAAGAGCTCTCACAGCATGGAAGCTTGCCGCCACTTCCTCCTAAAAAAGCAAGCTTCTAGACCTCGTGTCCAGCCACTGTGGCCAAATGCGTAGGGTGCTGGAAGAGCCGGGTTCGAATCCCTACCCGGCCACATGCCTCACAGAGTTGAAGACCTAGAAAGAAAAACCTGTTTTATAAAAGCAACCCCCCCCCTTTGATAGCACTAATATTCTTGGAGGAAAATGGTCTAGTAAGGCACCCCCCTCCCTTCCTTAAAAAATTACAAAAATCACCCAAGGCGCATAGAGTTTTCTCAAGATCACGTTTATTTTGGTCACTGTAACTTTCCTTTTGAATAAATAATAGCTATACAAAAAAAAAGTCTTAAGGTTGCACGTACAGATTTTTTTGCCGTATGAAAAGTTTTCAATTTTTTTTAGATTTTATCTTAACAAAGTGTGTTGGGGGGAAAGGTCTCATTTCTGAGATACACAGAGGAGGGGAAACAAAACGTCTTGGCAATTTGCTTTGAATCAGTGATTTTTTTTCTTTTTCTGAACCAATGATTTTTAAGTCAGGGAAAAAACAGAAACACCCACACTCTTTCGATTCTCCAAGGGGGGGGGGGGGGTGTCGTCTTTCCTGCTATAGCACCACGATTTTGTTGAAAGGTTGAATTTTGAAGAGACTATGAAATACGTCTTTTTTCCCACGTGGGGAGTGGGGTGGGGCACAGCAGGGAGGAGTTTATAGATGCCAGGAATCGTGGCTTCTACATCTGCTCCCCGAATTCCTAATGAAGTCGACAAGTAAGGGGGGGGGGAAAGACCGAGACAGAGAAAAGGCGCCAGTAAACACTAAAAGAGGTCATTCTGCCCCCAGAGAGAGTGACATTTATTCAAAAGGCAAGAAAACTCAAAAAAATAGAAAAGGGCAGGTCTTTTTGTAAGGGTGGGGGGTAAGAGAGGATTGTGCCTAATTGGGGGGCGGGAAGGGGGGGTTCTCGCAGGCACAGTGAGCCCCTAACGAAGGCAGCTCAGATGAGGTCAGCCACGTTGAGAGGCATTTCCTCGATGGAGGTGTTGTAGAATGTCTCAATGTCGCGAAGCGTGCGCTTGTCTTCTTCCGTCACCATGTTGATTGCAACTCCTTTCCTTCCAAAACGGCCCCCTCGGCCGATCCTGGATGGGGGAGAGAGAGAAGTGTTTACTGGGGGGAGCAGGAGGTCCGTAAAAGTAAAGGACATCATAAGGGACTGCTGGATCAAGCCCAATGGCCCATCATCCTGTTATCTCAGTGGCCAGCCAGGTGCCCATTAGGTAAGGTAAAGGACCCCTGGACAGTTAGGTCCAGTCAAAGGAGACTATGGGGTTGCCTCCTCGCTTTCAGGCCGAGGAGACTGGCGTTTGTCCACAGACAACTTTCCAGATCATGCGGTCAGCATGAATAAACAGCTTCTGGCGCAATGAGACACTGTGACAGAAACCAGAGCGCATAGAACCGCCATTAACCTTCCTGCCACAGTGGTACCTATTTATCTACTTGCACTGGTATGCTTTCGAACCGCTAGGTTGGCAGGAGCTGGGACCGAGCAACGGGAGCTCACCCCGCCGTGGGGATTCGAACTGCCAACCTTCTGATCGTCATGCCCAAGAGGCTGAGTGTTTTAGACCACAGCGCCACCTGCGTGACCGCAACAACACCACCACACCATCATGGGGTGGTGGTTGTTGTTTTGCATTATAATAAAGAGTGGTTCCAGGTATCTGGGGGAGGTTTGGTAGGATTAATGCTTCTCGGGTTTGCAAATTGTGGCTGTTTGCAGCACCTACACCATAGATTTCCAAACTTTTCATGCTGGCGACACATTTTTTTAGACGTACATCATTTCACGACAGAGAAGCTTTTACTGGGGGGAGCAGGAGGTAAGCAGGTGGCTGACTGGGTTGGAATCGCAGAACTGCAGGTGGGCATCACCCAGCCTCTGCTTAAAAACCACCAAGGAAGGAGAGCCTGCCATCTTAGCACAGAAGGGTTGCAAAGGAAACCCAAGAGGTCCTGAAGTCCAACCCACTGCAATCTAAGAAGCCCGAGAAGGACCAGAAAGTGAGGGGGAGAACAAGAAGAATCTCACCTGTGTATGTAGTTCTCACGGTTGGTTGGCAGGTCATAGTTGATGACCAGGGACACCTGCTGGACATCAATGCCACGGGCCTGGGAATGAGAAGTGGGGGCAGTTTAGCAGTTTCGCCAACAGTTATCACCCTGTTCCGCTCACAAGTTTTCAATTGTGGGCGGCTGCTACGTGGCAGGGCACCTTGGTGGCGGGTGCCAGCCGTGGGGAAGAGCAGCCCCCGCGACTCATGTGCCAAGGAGCTACAATCCGCCAGCAGCACTGCGCCAGCCAGGCAGAGAGGGAATCTCCTTGGGTGGGGAGCCAACCGGACAAACATGGCAGACCCACAAGCACGGTTGAACGGTCTTTAAATTTGAAGGTTCGTTATTGTTCCACAAGATGTGTATGTCTTTAAGGGCCAGAGCAAATAACGTGACTCAGTTTTACAGCTGTGAAGCAGTATAGCAGGTGCTGTTGTGTTAATTAAGCTGTGTCGGCAATTGGGTATAGTATATAAAGAGCAGCACCTAGCTCTCTCAGTACCCTGGTGGATCGGTCATGCTTGTTGATATATTTAATGCAAAAGGAGTTCTTGTTATTAAAAGCTTGCTAAAGTTATTTTGTGTTCCTTGTAATGTGTGCTCTCCCCAGCAAGCTCTCTGCAGTGCAACTAATCTGCACTGCACAAGGGCGTTTTCCATGAATTTGTCGTTGGCCGTTATTGCCCACTGTGGAAGTGAGTTCCACAGTTCAACCTCATCCAAATTTCAGCGGATGTCCCTCTTCCACGCCCCACACTCACCAGTAAGTCTGTGGTGATCAGGACCCGGCTGGAGCCAGAGCGGAACTCCCTCATAATGACATCACGCTCCTTCTGGTCCATGTCTCCATGCTGCAGAGAGAGAGAGAGAGAGAGAGAGAGAGAGAGAGAGAGAGAGAGAGAGAGAGATGGTTTTCACCCCCAGCACCTTAATCTAATTTTGTAAGTTTATGGAAAATTATAGAACCCAACAACCCTTTCCCATACGTGACTATTCCCATTTTCTTCTCGCGTCACATTACAGAATCATCTCGTTTGTGCCCTGATCTCACTTTTGGATAATCTTTTGTTCCTTACATGGTGTTGACGCTATTGTATCTGAATTGCATGTTTTGTTTCAGATCGCTTAAATTGCTCTTAACTCAAAGGTTGAAAAATTTACCATTTCCTCCTGTTTTTTTGTTGTTGAGAAAACTAAATTTACCGACAATTTTAAAAGCCACACTTTAGTTAAATTCACAGCATGCCTTTCTTCATTCCTGGGACAGCATCAAAGCCTCCCCCAACTCAGTTCACAAGACACCTAATCCTTGGTGGCCAACTTTTTGAGGGGGGTGGGGAGGGGGATTATGGAGGACAGCGCAAAGAGGCAAGGATGTCCTGTAAATGCCTTTGAAAAGCTGGTGATTGCTGGTTGAAGTTAAACAGTTTTGTTGCATTAAACAGAAATTTTAATTGGATTTAGAGTAACTGCAATTGCTACTGCTTTCAATTTCAGTAGGTTGCGAAAACCCCTATTCTGAACAATGTTTTTTATAAAATACAGAAGAGGGGCGGGCTGGCTTGAAAAACCACTATCTAGTTTCTCGCCTGCAATCCTATTAACACAGCTTGTACTTAAAGGCTCCCGGGCCCTTTCCACAGAAGCAAATTTATATAGACTGAGAGACATCCCCATCAGACAACCCTGAGAGACAGGACTCCCCCCTCCCTGCAAGAAAAGGCTCGTTCACCCACCATGGCGGAAACTGTGAAGTCCCGGGCATGCATCTTTTCGGTGAGCCAGTCCACCTTCCTTCGGGTGTTGATGAAGATGACGGCTTGGGTGATGGTGAGGGTCTCGTAGAGATCGCACAGGGTGTCCAGCTTCCACTCCTTTGGTACGAGAGGGAGGAGAGTTATAAGCGAAGTAGAAGACCCACTCCAAATTTAAATCAACACCTCCTCCCGGCCACCCCATAAGCCCCGCATAACAGTCGCCACGTACCTCCCTCTCCACGTTTATGTAGAACTGCCTAATACCCTCCAGGGTGAGCTCCTCCTTCTTGACCAGGATACGGATCGGGTCCCGCATGAATTTCTTGGTCACCTCCAGGACATCCATGGGCATGGTGGCAGACAGAAGCACCACCTGGAAAGGGGGCAGAGGGGCTGCGGGTCAATACATTGGTACCCTCAAGGCTATGTGCTCTGTGTGGGACTGCCCTGGGTCTGACTCAGGACCCTCCAGCTGCTGCTGAATGTGGCAGTCGGGTTACTGGGGGAGGGAAATCACCTGTGAGCCGGGTTCAAGGTCCTTGAACAAAGCTGTGAGCAATTTAGGCCCAGGGTACCTGAAGGTTTGCTTAACAGTGGTGGCCAATCCAGCTGTTTTTGGACTCCCATCATCATCAGCGGAGAAATGATAAGGGATTTTATTTTCATAGAATCCTAGAGTTGGAATAGACCACAAGGGCCATCGAGTCCAACCCCCTGCCAAGCAGGAAACATTTTTGTCTAGGAAAAGCAGGATAAAACTAAATAACTCAGCAGAGGGGGAGTTGAGGGAAGTCCAGAGGAGGGGAGGGAGAATAATTGTAAATAACGTGATGAATGAGATTTGTATCATTGTTTGTTATAGAATTCAATAAATACCCATGTCTAAATGAATAAATCCTAGCTAACAGGACCAGCGGTCAGGGATGATAGTCCCAAAACAACTGGAGGGCTGAATTTGGCCACCGCTGGCCTAAACCTTCCATCGCAGAGATCTAAAGAGCCTAATGAGGCTCATTTGATGACGATGAGCTTTGGGCACTATTGGTCAAGCCCTGTGGAACTCTCTGCCCCTGCGAGGTGAGAAATTGCCGTACCTGTGTGTTCCCACTCAGTTTCTGGAAGATGTCATAGATCTGGTCTTTGAAACCTCGGCTCAACATCTCGTCGGCCTCATCCAGCACAAACATCTTGATGAACTTGGGCGCTGCAGAGACAAAAAGGAGCCTTGGTGAGGACTTTGAAGTGAGGGGGTAGAGACAATGTGTCTCCTTGATGGGACGGCGGCTGGGTGAAGCTGCTGTTCTCAGGAATCTTTTAAGAGCTATGATCACTTCCGAAACCCGCACCTTTCTCTCCCAGCACAGCAGAACGCCAACCGGGAGGGAAATATGGGGGGTTGATGGGAGTCAGATGACACGCATGGGAGATCATCACAGAACAGCAAGATGGGGCGCTACAGATCTGCTTATGAAAATGGCAACTCTGCCACCAAGAGCAAAGTCACACAAGCCAGAGATAAGGCTGGTAACAAAGTCCTGATGAGGAACGCTTCGAGGAAGCTGGGTGTGTCTAGTCTGGGGAAGACTGAGGGCACCTATAATAATAATAATTTATTATTTCTACCCTGCCCAATAGCCTAATATTTCTATCCCACCCAATACCCTGCTTCAAATATCCCAAGGGATCTCCCATGGAACATGGAACCAGCTTGTTCTCTGCTGCTACAGAAGGCAGGTCCCGAATCTACGGATTCAAATTCTGGCCGACGAATAGTGTCTAACCTTAAAACTGCTGCTAAGGTTATGGCAGCCTACTAGAGCCAAATGGATTGGGAAAGCTTAATCTGTAATAACTACAATTAAGCAAACTTATTACGTAAAAATACAGGCAGAGCAGATGTTGGGGGAAATGGGTGTTTTGGGCAATGTCCTGCAACAAGCAAACATTGAACCATAGGCTGCTTTCAACCTGCCGTAATGTTATGAGTCTTTCTTTGTGTTGTTCTCCCTTTTGAATTTATTTACCAGCCCTGTTTAGGGAAGTTTTTAATGTGTGACATTTTACTATATTTTTAATCTTTGTTGGAAGCCACCAAGAGTGGCTGGGGAAACCCAGCCAGATGGGTGGGGTACAAATAACAAATTATTATTATAAAGATCATGAGTTGCCGATTGCGCTGCTACCTGGAGGGAAACTGAAGAATGCAGATACTTACACAGGTATCGCCTGTTCAACATGTCAAAGACACGTCCGGGGGTCCCGACAATGATATGGGGGGCCTCCATCTGCAGTTTCTGCACCTCGGCGCGGACGTTAGTCCCGCCTATACAGGCATGGCAGGAGGCGCCCATGTAGTCTCCTAGGGCCATCACGACCTTCTGGATCTGTGGGAGGATGAGAGGAGCAGAATTGTTAGCGGGGCCTGGATTCTCTTACCTGGCGCTGGTCAAGGGCAATGGCCTCCCGGTGCCAACACTTTTGTTTCCCCAGCATGAACCAGCGAACAGCCACGGGAGAGACACTGTGCTGGGATGAACAGGGATGGTCGCTGTCCCCCGGCCGGAGAAAAAGAGGCCCCCACTTTTTGCAAGGTGCCTCTTTCGTCAACTGGCAGGGGGAGGGAAGACGGACGGAAAAGAACAGGGTCGGAGCGGAGGCAGCGATTCCTTCCTTCAGCGGCAAGCCTCTTCGGCGTCCCTTCGTGAAGCGGGACCAGACCAGGAGAAATGGAATAAAGCCCCCCAAAATGCTCTTGCACGCCAGGGAAGGAGACACAGGACACAAGAGGCTGGGAGCCAATGTGAAAGGGAGGACAGGAGCCTGGGAGGCAAGCAGGGTCACTTAAGGGGACAAATGAAGCACTCCTTTACTCAGTGGACTGTTAATCTGTGGAACTCCCTCCCTCAGGAGGCAGCAAAGGTCACCAACTCAGATGGCTTTAAGAGAGGTTGGAGAAACTCAATGCAAGAACAGGATTATGGGACTAGATGGGCCATAGGTTTATGGCCTTGGCTTGATCCAGCAAGGGCCATAGGTTTACAGCAGGATATAAATTGAAAAGAAACTTTTTTTAAATAAAAAAGCCTCTAGCCCTGCAGGAAAGCAAATTCATTCACTGTGTTGTTGATTTACAGTGAAACGTTATACACGTCTGCTCAGATTTAGGTGGAAGGGGAAGAGAAGCAGGGTCGTTGCGCCTTTCACAGCTGTGCGGCAGGCAGAAACTCCAACAGGTTAAGCCTTTCCTAGTACAGAAATGCAATTATGGATAAAGCTTCACCTGTGCACGTTCTGTCTGTCAGACAGTTTATAAAGGCGCCTCTTTGCCCATTAAACCAGAGGAATGAATGGAGACCTCTGGAGTTTTTGGGGCCCTCAGTTCCACCTGCAAAAAGAGGACACGTGTTTTTATACAAGACAAAGCTGTGCACATCTGAAGGCAGCCCTGTTTAGGGACGTTTTTGTGTTCTTAATATTCTGTTGGGAGCCGCCCAGGGTGGCTGGGGAAACCCAGCCAGATGGGCGGGATATAAATACTAAATAATTATTATTATTATGGGCTGGAAATGGGGGGGAAAGGCTTACCTGCTGAGCCAACTCTCTTGTTGGGGCCAGGACCAGTGCTTGGGTAGCTTTCAGGTCCAGCTCAATTTGCTGTAAGATGGAGATCGCAAAAGTGGCGGTCTTCCCAGTGCCAGACTGGGCCTGAGCAATCACATCGTAACCTGGGCAGAAGGAAAGCAGGACGACGTCACACACACACACACACACACACACAAAAGGACAACTACCACATCCTGCCAACCTCAGAGGGAGCCATGACAGGGCAAGTGTTTCCCCAGCATGAACCAGCAGGCAGCCACGGGGAGGAACGCTGCGCTGGGATGAATAGGGTAAAGTTGATGTCCCCCTGCTAGATATAAGACAGTCACCACATTCAGAGGTGCCTCTTTGCCCAGTAGCAAGGGGGATGATGGAGAAAAGCATCTGATTGAAGCAGGACAGCTGCATTTGCAGTGTTGGGTGGGAATAACTTGGAAAGATCTCCCAAAATTTCTTTCTTTCTGCCTAGTATTGCTGATCAGAAAAAAATCACCCCCCCCCAGACGGGTGCATGCCAGATTTTTAAGACTGCAAATATCCATCATTCCTAGCCAGAACAGCCACGTTGATAGAGGACTAATGGAAATGAAAGCCCAAAATATCTGGAAGGCAGACAGAAGGACGGACTTCTCCACACAACTATGGAGGTCACTCCCTGAAGCATAAAGGGAACCTGTGAATGCTAGTTGTGTTAGGATTTTACTGTTTGGGGAATCTGTTTGGCCTGAGAACAGGATGCTGATCTGATGCAGCAAAGTCCCTTTTCTGGCAATACTAAATACTAAACTTAAAGTGAAGCAGCAATCTAAGCAGAAGTCAGTTTGGTATCATTTGCTGCATATATTCTGCTGTATGGGGCTTAAATGTTTGCTCGCCAGGACAGCACTCAAAGTAGTAAACTTAGAAATCAATGCCTTCTCTTTTTCGCTGCCTGGCTTTCCCTGTACTCCCCTCCTTCTACACAGGGCCCCCCCACCCCCTTTTGAAGAAGCTTGAGCAGCTAGCCTCACCCTTGATACAAGGGAGAATGGCTCGCTGCTGGATGGCGGAGGGCTTCTCAAAACCATAGGCGTAGATTCCTCGCAGGAGGGACTCCGACAAGTTCATGTCATCGAAACTGTCAACGATCTCGTTCCAATTGCTCTGTAGGGAGAAGCAGGGAAAGGTGAGCTCCCACAGCCAAGCCCCAAACCTCTCAAAAGAAACATCCAAGCCCCAAAAAGGGTATTCTGGGCAACCCGGATGCCATTGTGTTGGTCGGGATACAGAGATCATGGTATGTTTCCCCCATTATTTAGTTATCCAACTGACTCCGGACACGGGTAGTTTCTCACCTCAATGACACCATCGGGGTCCATCCCTTCGGGGCCATTGTCTCTAGGTCTAGAGAAAGAAAAACAACATATCATTTCAGAAGCACTTGAATGAGCAACCAGGGAAATACCAATGCACTCCCCACCCATAGCATATTATTATGGCTCCAAAAGGCACTTTGTTTTGCAATAGCTTATGTAAGGAATGGCCTTATGTGACAAGTAGAGGTCAGCACCATTGCCTGCTGTGAAAAAGCAGGGTTTACCCCTTGGAAGGTCAGAATTTGATCACCACCACCACCAGGGCTTTCCTTGTTTGGCCAAAGGTACACTGCCACTGGCCTGATCCAGCAGAGCTCTTGCTCTCTCTCCTCCCCTGATCTGGTGGCTGTGAGTTCCACAGGCCCCTTTGCCAACTCCAGCTATTCCTGATCCGGCAGAGCTCTTGTCCTCTCCTCCCCTGATCTTGTGGCTGTGAGTTCCACAGGACCCCTTTGTCAGCTCCAGCTATTCCTCCCCCCCCCCATAGCTGGAGAGGAGGAAGGCAATGCCTGATCCGGCAGAGCTCTTGCTCTCTCCTCCCCTGATCTGGTGGCTGTGAGTTCCACAGGCCCCTTTGCCAACTCCAGCTATTCCTGATCCGGCAGAGCTCGTCCTCTCCTCCCCTGATCTGGTGGCTGTGAGTTCCACAGGCCCCCTTTGTCAGCTCCAGCTATTCCTCCCCCCCCCCCATAGCTGGAGAGGAGGAAGGCAATGCCTGATCCGGCCGAGCTCTTGCTCTCTCCTCCCCTGATCTTGTGGCTGCGAGTTCCACAGGCCCCTTTTTCAGCTCCAGCCACCCCCCGTCCTAGCCGGAGAGGAGGGAGGCGATGCCGTAAGCTCAGCGTGTCCCCTGGCGGCCCATCCGCCGCTCCCCACGTGCCTCCCGCTCCCTCTTTCTTCCTGCTTTCCTTTTAAGGGCAAGAGGCTCCTCCCTCCCCGCGCCTCTGGCCACAGGCCCGTGACGTCACGGGCGCAGAGTTCCCGGATGCGAAGCGACAGGACAATAGGCAGGGCGGGAGAAGGGGGGGGAGAGAAACGAAGGGAGAAATGGACGCGCCCGCGGCGGGGGGGGGGGAGGAGGAGAAAAAGGCAGAGCTGCTTCTCCCCCCCCCATTTCTCTAAAATGGGCTCGCCCGTGCCAAGTCTGCGCGGTGCGGAAATGGAATTGCCCAACTGCCCCCCCGGGGGGGGAGCGGGGAAAGGATGGGCGAGTCCAAGTGGGGGGGGGAAGGAGCAGACCACTGAGGAAAAATGGGAGGGGGGAAAGAAAAACTTGTGTAAGAGGGAAAGGCTCAAAATGGCTGAAAAATAGGGGAGGGGGAAGAGAGGAAAAAAGGGACAGGCCGCTTTTCTTTTTTTCTTCGCCCTCCACACGGGGGACACTCGGCACGGAAAGAATATCGCCTCCTCTTCACCCAAAAAAGCCTTAAAGAAAAGATTTTCTCCCCCTTTTTCTCGAAAAAATGGAACCGCCCGCGAGCATTCGAGGGGAAAAAACTTGGGGGAGATAAACCCCCCCCCAAAGGAGGAAAAAAGAGACAACGCCATTACAGAAACCGACGCCCCGCGCTCCCTCCCGGCCGAAATGGCGGCGCTTCTCGCGAAGGAAGTTCCTATTCACACGCCGGTGAGGCCCGTTCCGGCTTTCTTTTTTTTCCCTCCCCCCCCGCGATGAAAATGGTCTCGGCCCAAAGCCGCAGAGACCTTACGGGGGAGGACGGTTCCACTCCCGAAAATGGGGGGGGCCCCGCCGGTCCCCGACCTGGCCGGCCACGTGGAATGAGCCGAGGTGGGGGAGTTAAAAGCGAGGGAACAAAATGGAGGAAGGCGAGGAGGAGGAGGAAACAATTCGCGGTTCTTTCGCTGTGAGGAAAGCGCCTCTCTTTCGCCTGTTCAACCCCCCCCCTCTGACGCGTAATGGTACCGTCCTCCGATAGAACCTTGAGGGAGGAGAAGAGGCCTGGACGGGCCCATAGGGCGGATATGGGGGGGGAGGCCCTGCCGCGCGCGCTCTCTCTCCCTCGCCCGCTCACTCACCGGCTCTCTTGACTCGCAGACATCCTGGGGAAAAGGTCCTAGCCCCGCCCGCCTCGCTCCCCCTTATAACATCCCGCCGAGGCCCCGCCCCGCGGCCCCTCCTCCATTGGCCCTCTTCCCCCTGAGCCCGCCCAGCCGCTCGCCTCACGCCATTGGCCCCGCGCGCTTCTCCCCGACCGGCTTCGCCCCCATTGGCCCGCCGCCTTCCCCCTCCTCCGCTTCCGGAGACGCCATTGGCCAGCGGCTCGCCGACACCGCCTTCCCATTGGACGAGGGGGATCCGTGACGGGCGGGGTTTTTTTTAACGGTGACGTCAAACCGAGAGAGGGGAGCGTGGGGGGTTGGGGAAAGGGAGAGGTGGAAAGAAGTCGGGCGTCGTGACGTCAACGGGGAGCGCCGGGCTCTGGTTGGTCGCCGGCCGCGTCCGTCGAGACGACGGGCCAATGGGAGCCCGAATGAGGAGGAGGAGGGTTCTAAGGAGGGGGGGAGACAGGGAGAGGAAAAAGGCCCACGTGGTTAGGCGTTGGGGCCTGAATTTTGGGCCTGCTGCCTTTGTCCAGCGGGGAGGGCAGAGCACCACGTGATGTAGGCCTTTTGGGGGGTGGCATGAGGAGGCTGACAAAATCACCCCCCCAAATAAAAGTTAAAAGGGCTGGGCTGAAATTTAAGCACTGGGTGCATTTTTCAGAGACCCCCCCCCCAAAAAAAAATTTGCAAAAAAAAAAAATTGCAAATGGCCCCCCCCATCACAAGGGAGCCCCCTTTTAGGTGCTGTGGAAGTTCCTGGGCAGGAAGTTTTGCGCCCCCCCCAAGTTAAAAGGGCTGGGCTGAAATTTAAGTACTGGGTGCATTTTTGAGAGACCCCCCCCAAAAAAAACCTTCCCAATTTTTTTTTGCAAAAAAATAAAATAATTTGCATTTCCCCCCCCCAAAAGGCCACCCCCAGCCCATTAGAAGGGAGCCCCCTTCTAGGTGCTGTGGAAGTTCCTGGGCAGGAAGATTTGGGCCCTCCCTCCAAAAAAAGGCCAAATTTCCTGACCCCTACACCTTTGAAACTGGAAAACTCCCCCCACCCCACAAACCCTCTTGTATCTGAGAGGGTGGATCGGATCCCTCCCCTGGTGATCCACTGGTCAGGATCCCCTTCTGCTGACCCACTGGGCTGGATTCCCCCCCCCCCCCACTTCTCCACTGGCCTGTTCCCCTCCCATTTTTATTTCAAAATATTTTATTTATTATAGGTGAGCAGCCCAATCTAAGGTGGGCTGCAACAGCTGACTTCTCTCCTAAAAACAAACCACCACCTGTTATATTTTACTGTTTTTAAATTAAAGCGATTTAGGGGCCCGCTGCAGGAAGCGATTAACAGGCATCTTGTAAATACAAAAAATCTGCTGTAAAGGCAGCCAAACAAAGCCCTCGCCTGAACTTCCTTGGCCCACCTTGAAACTGATCCAGGGTGCCAAGGCACTTTCAGTTTTTGAAAAGCAAAATGCAGAGAGATGAGGGAAATGTTGGAATTGACAGCATCCATCAGCCCCAGTCAGCATCTCCAATAATCAAGAAGGATTATTTTGTGTTCTCATTTTGTATGTTTCTGTTGTGAACCGCCCTGGGATCTTCGGATGAAGGGCATCATCATCATCATTTTATTATTTATACCCCGCCCATCTGGCTGGGTTTCCCCAGCCACTCTGGGCGGTTTACATAACATTAAAAAAATGTAAAACGTCAGATGTTAAAAATCTCCCAATACAGGGCTGCCTTCAGATGTCTTCTAAAAGTCAGGTAGTTGTTTATTTCCTTGATATCTGGTGGGAGGGCGTTCCACAGGGCGGGCGCCACTACCGAAAAGGCCCTCTGCCTGGTTCCCTGTAACCTCACATCTCGCAATGAGGGAACTGCCAGAAGGCCCTCGGAGCTGGACCTCAGTGTCTGGGCAGAACGCTGGAGGTGGAGACGCTCCTTCAGGTCTACTGGGCCTTTGAGGCCGTTTAGGGCTTTCAAGGTCAGCACCAACACTTTGAATTGTGCTTGGAAACGTCCTGGGAACCAATGTAGGTCTTTCAAGACTGGTGTTATGTGGTCTCATTGGCCACTCAGCCACCAGTCTAGGATACAAATCTATAAAATCAACAACAACAATGGAAACACCAGAGGCAGACCTAAGCTTTCCTAGCATCTGAGAAGCTCCAGGTTGCTGCCCAATCTTAGGTAAAGGTAAAGGGACCCCTGACCATTAGGTCCAGTCGTGGCCGACTCTGGGGTTGCGGCACTCATCTCGCCAAGGGAGCCGGCGTACAGCTTCTGGGTCATGTGGCCAGCAGGACTAAGCAGCTTCTGGCAAACCAGAGCAGCGCACGGAAACGCCGTTTACCTTCCCACCAGAGTGGTACCTATTTATCTACTTACACGTGCTTTCGAACTGCTAGGTTGGCAGGAGCAGGGGCCGAGCAACAGGAGCTCACCCCGTCATTGCAGGGATTCAAACCGCCGACCTTCCGATCAGCAAGCCCTGGGCTCTGTGGTTTAACCCACAGCGCCACCCTGCCCTTAAAACCAAGCCAGGTTCAATGGCGTACGTTTAGGGACTTCCTGGGGCCTTATACTTAAGCTTGATCTTTGAGATTATCTGAAGGAACTTTGTTGGTTGTCCCCTAGATTTGCGAGACATGTTTTAATGACAAGAAACCAAGCCTTTTGTGTCTTTGGCCCGTTCCTGTGGGACTCCCTGCCACTGACACCTTCTGTGCCAGCTTTTAAACACATTTCTGCGCTTCCAGGGATCTGCAGGCAATTGAGACCATTATCTTTCTGCAATTGTTAGTTGATTTTACAGTACATAGGTTTTGTTGTAGACCACTTCAATCCTTTTTTTGCGCTACAGTGGTACATAAATGTTTTTTATAATTAAAGCCCCCGGCCCGTCTCCCTTGTCCAGGAAATAGCCACCCAAGGCCTATACCCTTCCAGGAGGAATAAACCAGTGGCCAGAATATTTTGAGCTGGACAAGAAAATATTCCTGGCTCTGAGTAACCCGAGTGATTCACTCCCAGAGCCGTTGCGGAGGAGAAAAAGCACACAGGCTTTCAATCCAGTCGATGAGTCACTACAGGCAGGACTGGGTTCAAGGAAAACTAATAATGCAGCAAAAACCAGATAGTCAGCAGGACTTCTTGCACCCAGGGGGCTGTGATGCCCATGAAAGATGCTCCATAAACACACACTGTGTATGTTTAGCAGTGATCCACATTGGAACGCACCACACGCATATTGTGGGGAATTTGCTCCAGCCCCCCCAAATGAGCACGCCCCCCTGCTTTCATAATGCTTGGCTCCGATTTCAGAATGGCTCTCCCACTATCCTCTTTCCCACCACAATGCCTGAGTTTCCTCCAACAGAGAGCCAGGGTGGTTCGTGTGTTGGACTAGGGAAGAGACCAGGGTTTGAATCCCACCGACCGCCTCAGCCACTGGGTGAGCTTGGACCAGCCGCTGCTTTTCTCAGCCTAGTCTAGGCTGATGGCCGGAGAATGGATGCTTTTGAATTCTGGTGCTGGAGGAGACTCTTGAGAGTCCCATGGACTGCAAGAAGATCCAACCTCTCCATTCTGAAGGAAATCAGCCCTGAGTGCTCACTGGAAGGACAGATCCTGAAGCTGAGGCTCCAAGACTTTGGCCTCCTCATGAGAAGAGAAGACTCCCTGGAAAAGACCCTGATGTTGGGAAAGATGGAGGGCACAAGGAGACGGGGATGATGGAGGACGAGATGGTGGTACAGTGTTCTCGAAGGGACCAGCATGAGTTTGACCAAACTGGGGGAGGCAGTGGAAGACAGGAGGGCCTGGCGTGCTCTGGTCCAGGGGGCCACGAAGAGGCGGACACGACTAAACCACTAAACAACAACAGGTTGTTGGGATAAGATGAAGAATTGGGTGGATGTGGAGAATCGCATATGCCACTTTGAGCTCAGTGGAAAAGGTGGAATAACAAGGCCGACAGAGAAAAGTGAGAGCTACCTTGCTCTGTGATTGATCACAACAAATGGCGCTGCCTTCGGACCTCCAGTCTTAATCAGCGCCCCTGCTCAATACCACCCCCTTACCTGCAATCCCCCCTGACCCCCAACTTCCCCAGCAGAATCAACCTGGAGAAATGGCGCTCTGGAGGTTCCATTTAAAAAAACGGATTCCCACACCGATTTATTGTGCTTGCCATGGAGAGAGGAGGACGCAGACCTATGGAGGGACAGAACCCCCACTCTCCAGCCCAAGGAGGCCGGATGAACGCTCCCCCCCAAAAAAAACCCCACCACCCCAAGGTTTTATCACACTTGTCGAAGCTCCTCTATTGCAGGGTGAGAGGGGAGTCTGTTGGGTCAGGCCAAAGGAGGCCTCATCCAGTTCTCCCAGTGGCTGACCAGATGTCCCAGTGGGAAACCAGGATTCAAAGGCACTGCTGCCCCTGTGTGTGGAGTTAAGAGCATAGCCACCGACAGTGTTCTCCACCACAAAGGCGTAGGACCTTGTTTTGTTTCTCTCTTTATATAAAAATGGTAAAGGGACCCTGACCGTTAAGTCCAGTCGTGGACGACTCTGGGGTTGCGGCGCTCATCTCGCTTTACTGGCCGAGGGAGCCGGCGTCCAGCTTCCGGGTCATGTGGCCAGCAGGACTGAGCCGCTTCTGGAGAACCAGAGCAGCGCACTTAAACGCCGTTTACCTTCCCGCCATAGTGGTACCTATTGATCTACTTGCACTTTGACGTGCTTTCGAACTGCTAGGTTGGCAGGAGCTGGGACCGAGCAACGGGGGGTCACTCCGTCACGGGGATTCGAACCGCCGACCTTCCAATCGGCAGGCCCAAGAGGCTCTGTGGTTTAGACCACAGCGCCACCTGCGTCCTTTTCTCCCTGTATATATATTGTTTAAAAAAAGCGGATCTAGGGCAGGAGGTGCAAAACTCTTGGCTCGCCTCGTAAAACTGCACAGAACACCTTTATGCAACCGCCACGCATCACAAGGAGGTTAGAAAATGCCTTTTTCTCCAAAGAATGCTTTTTCTTTTATTACCCA